TTAAAATTTTGGCTAGTTACCCATCGCTAGTGGTGAATAGCGATGGGTAGCTATACCGATTCCCAGATATATAGCGGCTATGCAAAGAATAGCTGCGAATAGGTTATCTGTCGTCGACATATACAACTATGGGTTATAGCCGACTAACCGACCGTCAACTGTAGTGCCATTTTATAAACAAACAGCCTAGACATCAACCTTGACGCAGCGATGAAATATTGAAATGGTATTCACTAATTCCTAACACGCGACACAAGCGCTCAACTACGAGCTTTAAGACGAGCGGAGTAAACGGGAACTACTCGAGGCTGTGCGGTTTGACATTTTGTCATTGTATTTGGTGTTCTCTAACAAAAATCATCAGCCTCGTTTTCGCCGACAACCTAGCCTACAGCTTCGATTTCTTATGTCAAAATCAAAAGCTTTGTTTCCTACTCCGTTTGCATAGTATTCCACTAATAAATTCATTTGTTTTTCGAGTTCTGCAATATTTAATTGCATTGAAATTATCAATTTGTAATTAAAAACGATGGCAGATCGTTTATGTGTAATCCATTTCAATCCATTTGTTGAAAGAAGCTAAAATAGAAAATGATTGTAAGTAAAATAGAGAAGGCTTGGTGAATTTAGCTGAACCACTTGAAGCTGGCATCTTTTCTTCAGATGTGTTTTCCATAGCGAGGGCACGCTTCTCTAGAAATTCAAGAAATTCAGCAAGTTTTGGTACTACCTTTGCATTTATTTCTAAACGAAAACCAGCTAGCCAGAAAGATATGGTGTCAACAGAGGGATACTAAATTAAATAAACAACAGAGATGTAGACAAGAAACAAGAGCTACAGACTAAATCAAATTCAACACACTTGTTTTTTACTTTGATTTATTTATTTCTCCCTTTATCAAACTTGGAATGGCAAACAAGATGACAGCCCACCTGATGGAAAGTGGTAATCGTCGCCTATAGAGATGAGAATTACCATGGACATAACAGAGTACCTACTTATACTGTTTCGCCTATGTCATTGCCATTCCTGAAGACTCTGGTGTTATTCCTCTGTACCTGGTAAATTCACACCATATCCCATCCTTCAAACCGAAACACAGCCAAGCAAACCCAACTGCTAGACGGTTGAAACACGAATGGGACAAAGGTGCCCATGCGAACGACTTTGGTACGAAGTCTCCCTCTGGTAAATACAACTTGAGAAAGTGATATAAAAAAAAGGGTTTAAAAGTACAAAGAGAAGACGTTCCTTACACGATACTAGCACAAGAGTATCACTGATGGAAGTGACACAGTGACTGGTTGCTAGGCCATCGTCTACCAAGACAAACGCAAGGCCATAGTCCCATTAGTCGCCTTTCACGACATGCTAGGGAAGAAACTATTCGCATTGCTTATTTACTACCAACTATATGGAAATTCAAACTTCTACATTTGGAAGCTACTGCGAAACACACGAAACCCATTTATTTGGGGGAATTAAAGGGATTGTTGGTAATAGGGTCTAACTTACCCATTGCCAGCAATACGCCCTACCAGGTACCACCCTACCTGCACGCGGCTCCCCCTGGAAACCGTCGTGATTAACTCTAGTGGAATTCGTCACAATGGGCTGACCTGCTTTCTTCCTCACCTATCACCTCTCACTGGTGCCCCGCCAGCGTATGTCGATAGCGCAGGCGGGATTACCATTACATTATCACTCATTAAAAATAAAAAAAAACCGTTTATTTTACTCGGGTATTGAAGTGTTTTATTTTTCTTTCTGTTTTTGAGGTAATATATTAAATTTAATAATTATTAAAGTGTGTGCGCTGGCTTAGAATAGGCTACCCCTTCCTTTCCCGTGGATGTCGTAAGAGGCGGCTAAGGGAGGGCGAGGGATGGGCAGCAGCGTCCCTCTTAAAACATCTTTGAAAGCCTAACTGCTGTTGCCAATCCGCCTGCCAAGCGTGACAACAGTAGTTGCAAAACTCCCCTTACTGGGAAGACTTGTGTCCACCAGCGGACAGTTAGCGGCTAAAATAATAATATAGTATAGCAGGTTTGTGGTTTTAATGTTTTCAAATAAGGGTTCATGGTTACAAAAAAAAAAAAAAAAAAGAATGAAACAAAAGATTAAAACAAATGAATACATTTATTTACATTCATTTATATATTTAGACACTAATTTAGGCAACATTTACCTAGTTTAAACATTCGAAATGACTTACTAAATATATAATTATAAAATAGTTCATATAATATCTATGGTACTACACCTTATAATAAGCAACCCAACCATAGATATGGCATTTTTATGCTCTAATTCACTTTTGGTATAACACTTACAAGATCAAATCATTGGTAACTTAATTATAAATAGTAAGGGGGGAAAGGGATTGTTAGTAATGGAGACTGAGAATCCCATTGCTAGCAATATACCCAAACAGGTCGATCTCCTAGCGGTTCTCCCTGGAAACTATCATGGTTAATTCCTGATGAATTCATCATGATGAGCTAACTGGCCTGTTTTCATTCTCATCGATCACCCTTCACTGGTGCTCCGCCAGCGTATCCCGTTAGCGCAGGCGGTGCTACCATACCATTTTCACCTATCAAAAAAAAAATTATAAATAGTAAAAAATGTATAAGTTTAAAAAAACTTTTACAGTCTCTATAAGTACAAATAATATACAAATTAATCAATATAATAATATTTAATTACAATATAAAAATTGATAGTGTAAAAACAAAATTATACAAGATAATATTTATGTTCAAATACATTTATCGTCAAACATTTAAATGCACAATTTAATATTGATTCCAATCTATTCAGCCCTTTAACAGAGACTGAGTAACAAACATGTAAACATTCAAACATCTAACATACATTTTTACAAATTTTCATATTTATAAAATTAAGATATCTCTTTAAAGTTATTTTAATTATCACCTATCTTCCACAGAATAAAACATTGTTATACAACATTACATTTATTATATTTAATTCCGCTACTATGAACATAATAATTACAATCAATTGACCAGTGACATGGACGTCCGCGTATGGCGACGTCTATGGCGGAAATAAACAATGGCCTCGACAGTGGTGGCAATGCCCCGAGGCCCTCAATCTCAGGAAGCCTCTCGGACTCTGACTTACAAACTATAAATTGAACTAGTGAACATTTTTCGCACATTCGGAATATAAATAAACCAAATTCCAGGAACGTGACTTTAATAATGGCAATTTATTCGAAAAAAAAAATACACGGGAATTCCCAACAAGTCTCGAACATGTTTGTTTAAAATTTGCGGGGAACTCCCCTGTATTCTTAGGCTAGTAGTAGAAACTCAAACCAAGGAGAACGACTATCAATTATGACCTAATGGAATAATCATGTTAAATGCAGGCAACTCAAACAACAGCTTCAATAGTTAGGTTTCTTAGTCGGAGAACATATACGCCAAGTATTAGAATTCTCCAATCAATGTCAATCTTGACAAGGCGGTATTCAAGTGGGCTGGGACGATATACCACTTACTTTGTGTTGGCTATCAAAAAAGCTCTCTCCAATCTGCTACGCAGGTGAAACAAGTTAGTATGTAGTATGGACTTCGTATATACGGGAGTAAGACCAAGCTTCATAGGCGTATTAAAGGGGAAGACGAGATCGGTGGGTCATGCCTATCCCAGGATACGCATGAGTTTTTAACTATGCACAAAGACGTGTCTGAGAGTACATAATGTGCCTTTTTGAAAGGACCAGCCTCTACTGGAAAACAATATTAAATACGCCAATGCCAAGCTGATGTCAGCAGAAATGGAGTCTCAACTCTGATACTCTCCACCAACATCACTCGCAGCTTCAAGCTTGTGTACTCCGAAGTACACCAATTCTGGATGAAGCATAGGAACAACCGCACCAAATCACTATGTAGTATCATCAAAAAACACGCTTACTCCGCTCACACCGATATGTTTCACAAGGTCAAAATTGCGACTAGAAAATCCAAAACCAAAATCTGAATTGTGGAAGATATAAGAAGGAAATCAATCACGGACAAAGACTTTGTGATAACCGCTTCATTCAGTGATTGCGAAAGACGACGTCGTAGGGGAGAGAATCAATTATTCTGTGAAAGAACCCTACATGTTACTCCATTAAACTGAATCAGCAGTGAATGATTTCAAACACAAAGCCAGTGGCGACGATTGTATTGCAGCCAAACTTATCAATTGTCTTGGGAATGTCTAGCTGATGTTCGTTATCAGAGATGAAAAGATGTGTGACTTAGACACAATGAAAGTCTCTGCATACCTGGATTACATGATACTTCACGAAGGAAGTGACACGTAAATCACAGACGCTAAAACAACTATAGAGGAACTAGGAAAGATATGGTGTAACAGGAATATATACCAAACCAAAATCAGACTTATGCGCACCCATATATTCTCTATATCCTTATAGGCCCCTGAAATATGGCCTTGGGAGCCACTTGGGGAAGCTAAAATAAATGCATACGAGATATACGTTATTGTTGGCACAAAATGTTAGGAATCTCATGGACAGAGCGTCACACCAATGCGTCTGTATTGATAGAACTGGAAATCACAACCCGTATACCTACTGTCTGCTTCTAGCGATTGCTTACTCTTCGACCATGAAGCCCGCCGGAAACCAAATAATCTGGACAAATACATAACTGTAGGGTACATGGAGAGTAGAAGGAATAGGGGTATAGTACCAACCCGACAGACTGACTAAATCAAAATTTCCAACATCTAAACGTTGAAATAAGCTAAATATGTTCGATTTTGGTAAAAAATCGATATTAAAAAAATGAAAGGCACTTTTTCTTCATTAATGTAACTTACAATTCAAATAAATTAATATCAAAATTAGAGATTGTAGTTTAAGGATCGAATTTTATTATATATATATATATATATATATATATATATATATATATATATATATATATATATATATATATATATATATATATCGGATTTTTTACAATAGTAAACGTTAATGTAAATAGTTAACGTAATCTAGGAATAATGTTAAAACTTACCTTCGATAGAATGTTACACCTTACAATCATAGACAGAAGTTATAATCTTCAGTTCTAACAACATAATGTAAATATTATTTCATTGAATGTATCCGAGTCAAAGATTTTATATAAAAAAAAATCTTTACAGAGTTTATGATGTACAGTGTATAAAAGCATACAAATAACAAATACATAATGTATACAAAAAATTAAAAACCCTTTACATCTTCCTACGTTAACACATTTTTCGTATACGAACTTCAGTTTTTTAAAATTGGTTGACAAGACCTGGCTTAGTGATGTTTAGTTAAATAAAAATATCGATACCTTTTTTTAAATAATTAAATTATTTATATTTATTAAATTTATCCTTCTTTTCACAAACCACAATAAATGTAAACAATATATTAAAATAAATAATACAAGATACAATATCATTACGATAACTCAGTACATGAGAATCAGTTAATAATTCTCTTTAGATATTTCACGTTTATGTACATAACAAGCAAGGTAGGGCAAATAGAGTAGTTTTTTGGCAGTACAATTGAAAATATAATGGAGACAAAAAATATTGTCTACTTAAAAATACGAAAATTTATGTACTAAGATAAAGAGGGCCTATTGATTTTTATTCAAGCTATTTACAGAGAAAATAGCTGTTTTATAGATATCTCACACAAACTTTGTAAGCTACTTGTATCTGACGCCTGATTTCAGTTCAAAAACAGCAAACGTTAAATGAGTAACTACAACAACAGTAGATTCTAGTAATAGATTGGTAAGTATCAAGTTATAAATCATTATAATAACAAAATATTAATGTCGTAGTCAATTCTCAATGAATATAAAAAACGAGAATTCATTTCCTTACAATTAAAAAAAAACAGATTTTATTGAGATCCGGCCTTCTAAAATTGTTCAATGTTCCGACAGCACTAAATTAATTCATTATAAAAAACCCTGTTAACGGGTGCTGAGACGAAGTGAGTGAAGCTGGACAAATAGAGTTGGACAACTAGACTGGACACTGTTCCTGCGTACTCGCAGACACTTGGCATCGGACGTCCGGCGCGCGGACCACGCGTTGAGTAAGCAGAAGGGCGCGCGGCATACGGGGCATGTGTAGCAGCCAGCCGGCCACTGCCCTCGCGGAGCCGCGGACACTAGACGTGGGTCGAGCGGCACGCGGGGCACGCGTCGTGCCGGCAGGAGGGCGAGTGGCGCACGGGGCAAATGCAGCGGCCAGCCACACACCGCTCCTGCGCGGTCGCGTATGCTAGACGTCGGGCGTGCGCCGCGCGGGGCACACGTCCAGCAGGCAAAAGGGCGCGCGGCACACGGGGCACGTGCAGCGGCCCGCCAGCCACTGCTCCTGCGGGCCTGCCGCCCTCGTCGCCCACCACCGCCCTATGCACGCCGCGCACCACAGCACCCTGTATGCCCCACATGTTTAACTGACGTTACTGTATTAGTTGCAGCCCGCAACTTAGGGAAGGAAAGGAACTGTTAGCAATGGAGTTTGACAGCCCCATTGCTAACAATACACCCTATTAGGTCGACCTCTATGTGGTTGCCCCTGGAAACCATCCTGAACAATTCTTGTTGAATTCGTCACGATGGGCTAACTGACCTGCTCCATTTTCACCTATCACACTGGTGCACCGCCAGTGTATACCGATAGCGCGGGCAGGGTTACCATTCCATTGTCACCCATTAAAAAAAAGCCCGCAACTTAGGGTCGTGTGACTTAAAAAGTAACCATCCGATTAATATGAGAAATTTCGATATATCCTTGAAAAACTATAGTAAGTGCCGTACTATCACACCGATCGCTCGGCTCTTGAGGAACTAGGCGACGAACACCTGGGGACACAACCCCGATAGATTAATGATCCCCACCAGGAATTAAAATCGGGACCTCATTTGAGTAAAGCGACGTCAGCTTACCGCTGCGTTACGGATGTCATCATGGGGTAATTCGTAACATGAGCCAATGGAAGCCCATTGGCTTATGTTTAACTCAATCAAAGATTATCATAAAAAAGCAATTGACGCTACGATTCGTTCATTATGTACAAGTGAATAGTTTTAGATCGAGATCTTAAGATGCTCTGACTGAACACAAACCTAAAGTTAAAGGAATTTACATAAATACACAAACTTTACAATAAATATCCTCCTTTTCTAAATAACTGTTTATAAACAAGAAGTAACTAACCTGCAGTTACACTGTTGGCATTGCTGTGGCCCGCCCTCTAAATGCGGTGGAGGTGCCAAACATCGGCGCGTGATCTTTACGTCCGCTGGAAACTGCATACAACCGATGCACTGTTCTATTTCCTACATTAAAAGAACTAAATAAAATATTCCGTTTTTGTTTTAATTTCAATATACTAAAGTATCACTTAGGAATTTGCTTTTAACTAGTTATTTACACATTACTTCATAAGTAAAAAAAAAAAACATTGAAATGAAATAGAGCACTTGTAAATAGCATATCATAATAAAACATATTCCAGATTTTAAATTACATCTTCAAGAACACAAGCGTGAAAATCGTTTAACTTGACACAGTAAATTTTACGTGATATCGGAACAAACATACAGAATTTCTAAAAGTAGTCTTTGACTAGTACTGCTGTTATAAGACTCCTCATTTATCCTCTCAATTCTTATTAAATATATAATACCATGTACAGACATCGTTTATTATATTAATAAGATAGAAAAAAAAAAAAACAAGAAATATATATAAGTAACTAACCTAGAGAGCATTTAATTATCAAGGTCCACTGTCGATAATAAAATTGTCGATAGTTTGACAACACTAATGCGTACGTAAAGCAGTGACGTTTGTCAATCTCCCGCAATTATTAAAAAAAAAATGGCATTTTCATCTTTTTGAATTTAGAATTCGAAAATAAAAGAATGTTTGTTGTCGAATAGTTTTATTATATCGTTTATGCAAAGGTCTTTGCATGTTTTCATTTTTACAACCGTCTAGACAAGTCGGTTGTAAAAATGGAAATGTCTAAGGAAAATTTGCGTGCGATAATTTTCTACAACTTTCAAATGGGATTATCGCGACTTTAGTGCTTTGAGAAGATCACTTGTGTGTTTAGTGATGCAGCACCATGTCTTAGGACTGTAAAGCTGGTACTTAGAATTTCAACGTGGGCACTCTAGCCTCATGATAAGCCACGTGAAGATCGTTTAAAAACCGCCATGACGCACGAGAATATCGAAGCCGTGTGGCAGATAATCCTCGAAGATCGTCATGTGTCACATGTGATGAGTACCGTGATAGGTGCAATGACTTCGTACAGAATTTTTAGGACAGTATGTCTAAAAAATCCTACACGAAGAACTTGGCGTAAGAAAGTTGATCTCACGTTGGATACCACATTTTCTTAGTGACGACCAAAAAATAGCCTGTGTTAGTTGGTGTCACAAAACTCCGCAGCAAAACCGAGGAGAGTCAAAGCATGTTTATAATATGGTTAGTGGTGACGAGTCTTGGATATATGCTTACAATCCAGATTTTAACCAGAAGTCAACTGTTTGGGTCTTCTAGGATAAGCCAAAAGTGACAAGTCGTACGCTCACGGAGCTCTTCAAAAAAAAGTGGTTGCCTCGTTTGTGGCAAAGAGTGGTCACATCGCCACTATTATACTAGCAGATCGCAAGATGGTTACCGCTGACTGGTATACCACTGTTTTTTTGCCACAAGTCATCACCGAGTTTCGAAAAAACAATTCAATACTGCACCATGACAATGCAAGTTCGCACACCGCCCGCCAAACAAAGATGTTTTTGAGCACCCAAAATGTCGAAATTTTAGATCTGCCTTATAGCCATGACTTAAGCCCTAACGATTTTTTTACGTTCCCCAAAATTAAGCAGTCTTCGTGGTCAACGTTTCAGCTCACCCGAAGAAGCTGTTGACGCATACAAATCGGTCATTTTGACTACCTTCACTTTGGAGTGAAATAAATGTTTTAAAAACTGGTTTGAACACATGCAAAAAAGTATTAAATATCGCGGAGAATTCTTTGAAAAACAATAAATGGTAACAATCTATTAGATTGTCTGTACTTATTTCAAACGACACAACTTAAAAGGCAGCCCTCGTATTACAAACGCCACCCCGAAAACATTAGATGGCTTACGCTACGAATGACCCAAATTCATATAAATAATGTGGCAGTTACTTTACATTGTGAACATTAGAGTTTCCACAGACGGGAAACATTGTCCACGCAGTACAAAATTACCAGGTACATGAAAATATGAGTATGAAACAGAATGCTCAAACAAGAAGTAACAAACATCAAAATATTATAATCTTTCAAATTTATAATATTAATAGAATTATAAAAACTACAAGTTTTCCTAATCAGTTCATCGTATCATGATCACATCACAGCCATTAACTGTCTACTGCTGAACATAGGCTTTTTTGCCCATAAATGCCACGCTTGACAAGCAGATTGGCAACTGCAATTAGGCTCTGGTGATGTTTGAAGAAGGATGCTGCTACCTCTCTCTATCTTTAAGTTCCCTTAGTCGCCTCTTACGACACCCACGGGACAAGGAGTGGTTCATTCTTTGTGGGGACACATGGCAAAGTTAGTTAATAGTTATAAAACAAATAAAAAAAAATAAAGTAACAGAAGCACTTACCTGGTCAACATAATAAATAGGATTCTGTTCAATATGCTGCTTGAACACTGTGACAAATCTCTCAATCAGCGTGGGCAAGAGAGATATGTGCTCGGGCACCCTTACGGGGTGGGCCAGCCTCTGCTGCAGGTCCCTCAGAGCTGTTGTCGACATACGAAACATGAAGCGCTCCACTTCGTCAACAGATGGAATAGCTTCTATATTCACATATTGAATTTCATCTTCTCCCGATGGTGTGAGGTTATGATTGTCCGTCTAGTAGATTAATAACAAATTAATTGATTATTAATTAATTAATTATATAATAATAAAAAAATAACAAGATATCCCTCTTTCCAGTTGGAAACACAGAAGACAATGAGCATATTAAGAAATCATAGTACACAGTAATTCCCATTTCTCCTTGACCTACCTTTAAGCATACAAATGCTATTTTCTGCAAAGATCATCTGAGACCTAATAAAGTACCTATTAATAGTAGTAAGAAGTTAAAAAAATATGTAAAATTAAATAAATTTATTCGAAAATCAGAAAATTTAGTGAAAAGTCATAAAAAGTGTTTAAAATCAATTATTACTAGGAAGCAAAAAATTGACTTATCAATAGAATTAAATAATTGTAAAGAAAAAATATATAACAAAGATTTAGAAATAGATGAATTATCACAAAAAATTAAACTATTAGAGAACTCGTTGTCCAATTTAACTTTGAAATACGAATCAGCTAAGAATGAAATACATGAATATTCTGATCAGTTAGATAATTTAATAAAATTGGGTAACTACAAAATGGAGCGGTTTGTTTCTCTTACGGATAGATGTCACTGTAATTCACCAGAGTCTGATAACTATATCCAACCGTCCCACCATAATCAGTTGAACATTGATATCTCATCCGTCACGGAACCAGACGTTTCATGTTTACCCACACGAAACAGTACAAAAGTAAATAAATGCAGCACTGTACATGAAACCATCAGGAGAACAATTGTTTATTCAGATGAATTTGGCAAGGATTTAGGTAGTTTATTATCGAACTGCCTCTCGCAACAAGTAATAAATAATTGTTTTCCGGGATCAGGTATATATAAGATTATAAAAAATATAGAAAATGAAAAATATGATATTCACACGACCCTAGTAATAGCGTTAGGGAATTGTTTGCATATGCGTAAATCTGATATAGTTAATTTAATAAAATCATTATATAATATAGTGGAGCTTGGTATAGGTAAAATATTATTATGCGCATTTCCCTACTCTCAATCCCTGACTAATGAACAGAATAAGTTCATTTATAGTATAAATAATTTAATTTATTCGATGACATATCATTGTAATGATATATTTTATTTTGAAAGTAACAAATTTGTTACAAATTATTATATGACGGGAGGTAATTTTTATCTTCCTAAAAAACAAAAAAAGACTATTGCTAGTTTACTAGCGTATAACATTTATGATCCCATTATAAGTAGTATAACGGGTTTAATTAGTAATATTAGTAATTATACTAATAATGTGACATGTGTTAATTTAAACTAACATCTACGACATTGGTTAAGCCACAGGATATGGTCATTATTCATCAAAATATTCGTGGCTTCTCCAGCAAAGAATTAGAATTAAGTCTTTTCTTAGAATCTAACAATGTACGGGTGTTATGTCTGACAGAACATTGGCTTAAACAATATGAAATAATTTGTCCTTTTGAACATTATAATATAGCTAGTTTTTTTGCTAGGAACAATGCCATTCATGGCGGGTCAATTATTATTTTAAAAAATGATGTAGAATATAAAAACCGTCAAGACATTGTAAATATTTCTATTGAGCAAACAATTGAACTATCTTGCGTAGAATTAGTTACTTGTATAATAATTTGCGTTTATCGTCCGCCAGCGGCTTGTTTTGATTCTTTTGAACTGGCTATGGAGGAAGCATTGAGACGAGTCGCACGGAGGAATAAAACATTATTTGTATGTGGCGATTTTAATGTTGATTTATTATCGGAATGCTCAATAAGCTTAAGATTGATTAACTTATTTAAATCATTTAATTTGCACAATCTTTTTTTAGAACCCACTAGGGTCGCAGGAAATTCTGCCACTTGTATAGATAATGTTTTTTGTAATTGTGAAGTAAAGGTGAAAATGAATTTCGACTGTCTTGGATCTGATCATTACGGACAAAAAGTTATAATTGAAACTAAGGGATCCAAAGGGACTCAAACAATTACATGCAGACAAATAACACAAAAGAATTTGGCACGTTTTAAAAATAAAATTGAACATAAAATATCTAGTGTCATAGTACCTCAATATGACCCGGACATTGTATGTGAACATATTTTTAATTTAATTGAACATGAAGCTAGCAGTGAATTTAAAACAAAAACATTTTCAACTAGTGTAAAATCAAAGTTTTGTGACTGGGCCACGTTTGGTATTTATAAGTCTAGGGCTAATCTTTACGAACTTTACGAAAAACGAAGCTATATATCCGATCCCTTATTTCATGAACATGTAAAATCTTATTCGAAAATATTTAAAAAGGTTTGTCATACAGCTAAGTCTCTTTATTTAGGTAAAATAATAACTAAATCTAAAGATAAAATAAAAGCCACTTGGAAAGTAATAAATAGCGAAACTGGAAAAGTTAATTTTCAAAATAGCAAAATAGCTTTAAATATTAATAACAAATTGGTAAATTCCGACACAGAGGTCGCGCATACATTCGAATCTTATTTTACTAATATTCCATTAATTACGACACAGGCTCTAAAATCTTCCCCGTCTGCTGCTGAAACTTTACTAACAGACAATGTTAGCAAGTCATCAGCTGTATTTAACTTTAGACATACATCATCAGTAGAAATAATGAAAATATTCAAACAACTTAATAATAAAAAAACAGAGGATCTATGGGGTATATCTGTTAAAATACTGGATAGTATAATGGAAATTATTGCGCCCTCTCTTGCTTTTATTTTCAATAAATGTATAGATGAAGGTAAATTTCCTAACATAATGAAAATTAGTAAAATCATACCGCTTTTTAAATCTGGAGATAGGAGTGACCCAATAAATTATAGACCTATATCCATACTCCCAGCACTCAGTAAAATTTTTGAAAAAATAATCCTTATGCAACTTGTCAATTATTTCAATTTAAATAATTTAATCCACAATAGTCAATTCGGTTTTTCCAAAGGTCGTTCAACTACAGACGCAGGTGCAGAGTTGCTTAGACACGTATTTGCTGCATGGGAAACTAAAATGGATGTGATAGGTGTTTTTTGTGACCTTTCTAAGGCTTTTGATTGCGTTGATCATAATACATTGCTAAAAAAACTTGCTTTTTATGGCGTCAAAGACAATGCTTTAAATTTAATAAAATCTTATCTATCTGATAGAATACAGAAAGTGAAGATTAGCAACGCTACGTCTGACGGGTCACTTGTGCAAATGGGTGTACCTCAAGGATCTATTCTCGGTCCATTTTTATTCCTAATTTACATTAATGATCTCCCATATGCCATGCAGGATAGATGCGGCATAGTATTGTTTGCAGACGATACTTCATTGATTTTTAAAGTTAATAGAATGACTAATAATTATGACGATGTAAATAGTGCTTTGCGGCGTCTCCTGCACTGGTTTACAACTAACAATCTTATGTTAAACGCTAAAAAAACAAAATGTGTTAATTTCTCTCTATCTAAAAGTTTTAATACTAATTGCAATATTAAATTAAATGACGAATCTCTCGAATTTATAGAATCTACTGTCTTTCTAGGAATCACACTAGATAGTAAAACTCAATGGGGTGCACAAATTCAAAGCCTTGCAGCGAAACTAAGTTCAGCAGCTTTTGCCGTGCGTAAAGTTAGACAGTACACTGATACTGATACTGCTAGATTAGTCTATTTTAGTTATTTTCATAGTTTACTCTCTTATGGAATATTACTATGGGGAAAAGCGGCAGATATTAAGAATATATTCATATTACAAAAACGTGCCGTTCGAGCGATCTACTGTATGAAGAGTCGTGACTCATTAAGAGAGAAATTCAAAGAGGCAAATATTCTCACCGTTGCTTCTCAATTTATATATTCAAATATTCTATATGTTCATAAAAATCTTGACTTATTTCCAAAAAACAGCAATATTCATAATATTAATACTAGATTTAAAGACAAACTTGCTGTCCCCAAGTATCGTTTAGAAAAAGTTAATAGGTCTTTTATGGGAATAGGTATAAAAATTTACAATAAGATACCAAAGGATATGTTGGAATTACCCTTAAATAAATTCAAAACATCTGTTAAATCATATTTACTGAGCAAAGCCTATTACTCACTAAACGATTACTTGAATGACGAGTGTGCATGGCAATAGTTGTTCATGCACTGAATTTTCATTTAATGTTAGACATAGACACCTATATAAATATACATTGTAAATAAACTGGCTTTAAAAAAAAAGTAATTCAATTGAGTTTCTTGCCAGTTCTTCTCAATTGGATCTATATACCGAACTGGACGGTAGGGTAAATATAAAATTATAATGTACAAATTTGACGTTCATAAGCGGCTAAAATGTCCTACATGAATAAATGATTTTTGAATTTGAATTTGAATTTGAGAAGCTACACAACATTTCCAAAATTTCATTATTTTGGAAGTGTACTTGCTTCTTTAAAAAAATATATTTTGTAACCTGTTTTTATCGCTATGGAACCCATATTCTGAAAATTTTAATTTTGTATTCTATTGGTTTTTTTTTAATATATTTTATGAACTGTCTGTACAGTAATATGTTTAGATAATTTTTTTTTTTTTTATATTAGAGAGATATTCTATAACCTAGTTCAGTTTATACTATAAGCATAGAAGATTACTTGCCAATGGGAGGTAGACAACTGGCTCTTTAATTAAAACTTATCTTAGACATACCTTTCCCTATAGCTGAAAGGTACCCTCCCGAACATGGGGTGGACATCACATACAGCAATAGTACAGAATTTTCACCCATTAAACAACCAGACAATTCTCTTACCTTATATATATAAAGTATTAAAAATAAAATAACAAATGGAACAGGCATAGATACTTACAGCAGTAGCCACAAGTGTGCAGTCTTCCTGCTTCACAATATTTAACTTGTATTGTGACACTTTTATCAGCCAAGTTTCAGTGGCTACAAATTTACTTGTAGCTGTTAATGGTACGGACACTTTATCAACACTGAAAACATAAACTATTATTTAATAAATATAATATAATGAGGTTAGATATTTTAAATTCTCTTAGTGGTTATTAGAGACTAGAAATTTATACTTTATAATTAAAAAAAAGTATATTACAGATACTTTATACAGGTTATACAGGGAAAAAAGATTTCTAACCTTCTAAATTCAATATTAAGGCTGTTGGCCACCACTCGCCAATCTTGTCCAGTAGAGGCATAATATAGCAGCGACCTCACAGCGGGATGTTTGGTACTGTTGTATTCCCACCAACACAGTATCTTATAGCACATCATTATTGGTAACATAGCTGTTCCCACAGCCGCCGACAACATCCACGGCCCTCGCTCGCCCCCGCACCACAAACAAATTACATACCCAAATGGTAATGTAGAATGTATTAGTGCAGTTATCGTTATCCTCTTCATATGATATCCAATAAAGTTCGTATTTTCCGAACCCAAATAATTTTCAAATAGCTGAGCGATGGTGAATCCAGCTGATACGAATTCCGTGGGTGGATATATCACACAAATTGAAAATAATACGTAAAATAATGTTAGTAGCACGTCCATTTTTGAAAATATAGTAGTTACTCTAAAAATTATTTAAAATTAATTCCTGAAAATTAAGTATACTAGTAATGAGTAAAAGTTTAATCTCCGTATTTAACACCGCCTCCTAAACCAAAACAAAGGACGATCTGACAAGTGGCAAACGAATCATTATCGATTCCCCAGTGTGCCATCCGATAGAATAAAACGTTGGATATAGCTATCTCATTCTGTTTCCTAAATTAACAAGTGATAACGATTCCATATAGTGGCGGAAAATCTTCTTTAATTTTATTAACGTGTAAATGTTGTATTTATTAGAAAAAGAAAACGCCTTTCAAAAACGTCATTACTTATTTTTTTTGTAAAAAGCCAAAGCATCATCCCAAACTCCTTTATACCTACATCGAAGAATCTCATGGCCAAGTGATATACTTATAATTCGTAATTATTACTTACATTTATACATGAAAAAGAAAAGCTTTGACATCGACAATGTACCAAAATAAATTAATTTAAAAAAAATCTTATAATATTTGTAAATTGAGAAGAATACCAAAATGAAAGTTTAATTATTATTAAATTTTATTTAGAGTAGTGTCTTAACTGACAATTTTTACAGCAGTTCTTCATCGCTTGTATCCTGTAAAAATGTGATTCCCTCTATTCTGTCACATTGTTCTCGCCTGTCTTTTTAAAACTGTATTTCTACGCGGCATTTTTACAATACTAACCTAACAATTAAACTAACAATAATAGCATTATTAAATATAACTAACCTAAACTACCTACCTAATTAATAACCTAACACGAAAATAATAACATATGAACTAACCTAATATTACAAAAGTTCGAGAAGAAACATTAATCTACAAAAAAAAAGACACTGATAATGATAAACCACTAAATAACTTCTGGACGTGACTGTATTTTTAATAGAATGAGCGAGACATACGACTAGACTCGGGGTCGCGTCTAAATGGTTTGTATCGTTATTGACTCATTGCGCAGTCATTTGTTGCTAACTTCACAAACACAATATCTCGTTGCGGGCACTGTACCCAGCTTTTGGCCCTGGGGGTGAACAAGTCAGATTGTCAAGTCAAGACAGATATGAGAATTGTCGATAATCCCAAGCTCACAAGCGGTATCGAACCCTTAAGTCTTAGGAGAGATTTTGCTTCACTCTGCGTGTTCTACTGCCTGTACAATGGATTGTGCTCAGAGGAATTGTTCAATATGATGCCCAAAGCCACTTTCTACCATCGTACGGCTCGCCATCGACAGGGAGTTCATCCTCATGTCCTACAGCCTCAATGGTCGCTTACTGCGCAGTTTCAGAGATGTCTCCTCCCACGAACACTCAGGTTATGGAATGAGCTCCCTGCCGAGGTTTTCCCAAGAGACTACAGCATGGGGTTCTTCAAAAGGGGGATAAAGAGGTTTCTTTAGGGTCGACAACGCACGCGTAATGCCTCTGGTATTGCAGGTGTTCATAGGGTACGGTAACCACTTACCATCAGGTGGACCGTATGCTTGTTTGCCACCTCAGTGGTATAAAAAAAATTTATGACGATTGTAGTATGTGGTATGATCAAAAGCTAACACGTATTAAAATGAAAGTTATAACAATTATATACAATTTTCGAGGGGGGAGAGGCAGCTGACTTCCCCTGCCCCTCCCAACCCTAAGTAAACCCATGGGTGTATTACTTCAACTTTTAGATATCAGAGATTGTGAGTTCTTATGTAGCCGACACCAATTTTTATACTAATTTGAATTTCCGATTAAATTTTTGGTGAGGGGCAGTACCAATAACAAATTTAATCGATTAACCCAACTTGGTAAAATTAATATGATGCTTAATTATTATTGATAAATGAATAAATTATTTTGTTTACCCTTTAAGGGATTATAGTCGTGAGCAATATGTATTTTTCTATACAATTTTTTAAAATAATATAATAGTCATTTATAAAAATAAAATATTATTGCGGGGAGAGGGGGGGGGGGGGAGGGGGAGAAGCGATAGTTAGTAACGAGACTAATAGCCCCATTGATAGTAATATATCCTAACAGGTCGATCTCCACGCGGTATCCTCAAGAAACCATCGTAGTTAATTTTTGTTTAATTCATTTCGATGCTTTCATCCTCACCTATCATTCCTTACTGGCCTACGCCCTATCAGCGTACATTATTCCATTTTCACATCTAAAAAAGAAACATATATATGCAAATAATAATGATAACAAACAAGCGTCATCGACATAGAAAAATATTAAAATTATTCGTTAACAATAACAATAAACATATATTTAATTTTTTCTTTTATTTAACAAGAAACAACAGAGGTTTCTTGTCGGTCCGTAGAAGAAAACCATTTTAACGTCATGTTTAATTTACGTAAAATTTTTATCTATTTTAAATTTTATTTTTATATCTAATTAAAGTGTAAACAAAAAATAAACAATGTTAAAATTAATAACATTAGGAATAAAGTCATATTAGTACTTACGTATCGAATATTGAAGACAAGAATTGCTTTAAAAAATTATTGGCGCTTTCTTTTTTCAAATCAGTAAAAAATATCACATGATTTATATTTTTTTTTTATTGACATTATGATGAATAAATATAGATGGAGTGATTTCTGATTATTTTTTTTTGTTACTATAAAATTAAATAAAATTAAAAAAATATTACAAAGGAATTATTTTCACTATTTAAAGCGTGCATGTACACTAACCCCCTTATACATAAAAACTAAAGCTTACTACAAAACTACTTTAAGTATTAGTGTTTACTCATTTTCTTTTAAATTGAATTTAGTACAAAAGAAAAAGATAAAATTAAAATAGGTTTATAAGAGATTTGATACTTTTATTAATAAGGAGATAACTTTATTAACTTATTTGTTTTTCGTTTAAACGCTCATTTCTAATTCCATAGATAGATTCGTTTGCTACTTGTCTGGATTTGTAAAAACCCTGATCAGACTATGTTTAAACATAGCATGAGGCTTGGATAATACAAACTGTATATAATAGCAATATTTATCAAATTTTAAAGTTCTATACATCGAGCTGTAGGTTAACTGTATATATTTAATATAATACAAGCGACACAACTACACTCGACACTGTCCTGCGGCCAACTGTGACTGCGGAGATTATAGATTAGAGATGAGCATTTAAACGAAAAGTACTTAAATAAGTTTGTTTAATAAAGTAAATGTAAAACACGCACTAAATAGTAAGTATATTTCGTTTGTAAATTATATTTTAATAATTTTATTTACTAATTGATACTACGTCGAGAAAAAAAAAATGTTATTCATAGATCATACTAAAAAAGTATATACTGTAATGGGGTGGTCGAACGAATTTTTCTATTGATTGCCATTATGGTGAATAACCGTCGCATATTAGAATCCTGTCACGTTAAATTTATTAATTTTGCTTTTTGTTACAAGGGTGGATAGATGATAGGTGGCTGGGTTTGTGCTTGATTTTATGTTATCTGATGGTAAATGATCTAGGATAAAGTGCGCTTATTTTGAAGATACTTATTTAACATCGATTTGAAGAGTTTTAGATTGTATTTCTCTAGAAACAGGCACGGAAACTATTTAGATTGATTTGTTATCTACGTCTCCAATAACCGGAAGGTTAGTTAGTTCGAAGGAAATTGAAACTAATACAAAAAGTTATTGGTATTGTTCAGCTTCGAACTCAAAAACTTTAAGGTCTATAAGTCAAAAAATTTTATCTTTGGGTCATATTGTCCTACCGTATAAAAGTTGTATATCTATTAAAACTCTAAAGAAAAAAATATTATTGTCAACGTCAACTGTCATGTTGACAGTTTGTGTTGTAGTGTATGTGGAATGTGGACACGTATTGTCGGCCAGCGAGTTTTTATTTTTAATAAATTGTTTTACATTTGTTTTTATAATAGATAACGAGTGAATATAATTTTGTCTTATGATTGTCGAATAAAAATTGTACTATCCTATTTAGTTGTACAATTAAGCTTCAATAATTTTCAATTCAGGTATGTTATCAACTCTTCTCCATGTAACTGCTGGATATATAAAGTGTAAAATATTGAAAAAAAAATGTAAATAAAGTGTACATATTCATGTCGTGTGTATTGTTTTAAATTGGAATTTTTCAATTAGTAATATATTAGTCATAACCTTTCGGAGTATTTTTAATGATAATGGAATGGTATCACCGCCTCCACTAATAGACGTACGCTGGCAGAGTACCAGTGAAGGATGATAGGTGAGGATTATAATGCAGGTTAGTTAGCCCAATATGACAAATTTAGGTAAAATTAAACACAATGATTATAAAGAGAGACCACTAGCTGATCGACTTGACTTGAGATTGACAGGGTATACTGCCAGCAATGGGTCTACCAAATCCCACTACTAACAATCCCTTCCCCTAATCTCTAGGGTTGCTTAATAATATCCACCAGATATTATCTGTAGACCAATTATTGATATGTAGTGCAAAAAAGCAGGCAATTGGTAGGTGGGTGTGGATTGATTAGATAATAAGTCCCATAATCTTATTAATTGAGAACTAGGCTTTACAGGTTTATATATCTTGCATTAGATATCAGATGACAAATTTGGGGACACAACCTAGAATACTCAATTTCTTAAATTGACCCAACTGAGAATGAAATCCAAAAATGTTCCATTAAGGTTGTCCATAGAAAGATAGATAATTAGAAAAAGAAATAATATATATTAATTTCAATTTTTTTAATATAGTTGTTAAAATATATTTGTATTCATAATCAGCATGGCGAGCGTGGAGCAACCATGCTACACCCTGATCAACTTCCCAACAGACACGGAGCCCCATAATGAGATGCAACTCAAACTTGATCTTGGTGAGTTATCATTGATGTACATATTCATATAACAAGTAAAATAAACAAAAGGTATATTATGAGACAGACATAAACAAATAGAGGCCTATTTATTTATTTATGCAGCAAAATTAGAGCTACACAAGTATAAATAGAAATAATCTAGGATTACAAACTAAGCCACTAATAGATTTTTGCAAATAGCAACAAAATAGATTAGTTAGTACTATACAAAAAGCAACAGTGGATATAATTATTATGAAGCCTTAAAACCTGAGAGTTTTAAACATTAAATTAAGCTGCCCTACATAATGGTAGGTAGATAGATAGGTTGTTTGATTTATTTGCCAGAACATTGTTTTTACAGATATTGATTTATTTATTGATGATGGTATATTTTGTAAGCATAAACAAAATAAGCCATTATAATAAATGTGAATTTAAAACCTTAAAAGTCTATGTTTTGACTTTACTTATATATAACTAACTGCTAGTAAACAAACTAATACAAAAGTAAAAGAATCAACTATTTCACGTGATTATCTAGCCAAAGTGAAGTCCCAGCTATTCTACTGAACCAAGGAGCTCCTATTCAGCATTGTTTATACCAGAGGGCCTACCATGAAATATTTTCCGAAATTTCAGGGAAGAACGAAATAGAAATTTGATGTTAAAATTACATAATACATGCCGTTTAAAATTATTAAAAATATTAAAATATCATTCCTCTGGACTATTAGGATAGGATTTATGATGAATGAAACGTTAAGCTTCATTTACTGGGTTGATTTATGTATGAACAAAAACACGAAATTAAGCCTGAAAATTTGGAATATCATTTCATGGTAGGCCCCCAGTTTCTAGTCACTTGACTTAAATAAGTTTTTACATATAAAATTAAGTTGCATTGTCTAAAAATTGTTATTGTTTCAACAGAAAAGGGGGATACAAAGAAAAAAATAGAAGCCCTAAAGAAGACAATCGGTATTATTCTTTCTGGGGAGAAAATTCCTGGGCTTCTGATGATTATTATCAGATTCGTGTTACCACTGCAGGACCATACTATCAAGAAGCTGCTCCTCATATTCTGGGAGATTGTGCCCAAAACTACCCCAGATGGTAAATTGATGCAGGAGATGATACTTGTCTGTGATGCATACAGAAAGGTAGGTAGTTTTTAAAATACTAATTTTGCTATCTTTTTATAGAGAATATTCTAAAAAAAATATTTCTCATAATTGTATGCTTAATTTAGATTTAGATTTACTCTAGAATTTCTTTTTCCCACATATCATTTATCGACCAAGTATTTGGCGGTTTAATCATCCTTAATGGCATTCAGAACAGATTAAATAATCTGGCATATGATAGTATTCCTCTGTAATAGGCATGGGTAATATTGGCACCACTGATATCTATATGTAGGGTTTCTTTGGACTTTGATGACAGCAAAGAAGGTCATTACCCATTTCAATACCGCCCATACCAGCTAGATATCTATATTCATTTAAATCGAGTTCTTAATTAATTTATTTATTTATAGGATTACCAACATAAAATACAGCTACAATAAAGCTAAATTTTAATACAATACACTGGCAGATCAGATCTCACTGTTCTTACATTTATAGGCAACCACAGCATTTAGATATTATGTTAATATTTAATGTATCAGTTTAATGGGCCAATATGTATATATTGGCAATATATACATATTGTTATACTATATAGGAACTCTACTTTGTAGTGTAACTAGGAACACACTTGATCTACCCCCAGACAGAGTACAAACGAATCTATTGATCAAATCATTATTGCTAACAAGTTCATATAATAGAATAAGATGGTGACATGCGCTGTCTTGTTTATTCTCACGTGAGCGGTAAAAGCTAGATACCTGAAGAAAATTTCAATTCTTATTGTATCTATTTGTCGAATAGAACCTACCAATTAACTATTGTTCTGTAGGATCTCCAACATCCTAATGAATTCATCCGTGGCTCCACCCTACGCTTCTTGTGTAAGCTCAAAGAGCCTGAGCTGCTGGAGCCCCTGATGCCGGCCATCAGGGCGTGCCTGGATCACAGACACTCATATGTCAGGAGGAATGCTGTACTTGCTATTTTCACTATATACCGGTGAGTGAATGTTTCCTTCAGACAATTACGTTACAAAATGTAGTAAATACAAAAGCAGAATTTATCATGGTAGTGATCTGCTTCAGATAACCTTTAGATGTAAATGTGTGAGTGTGTGTATGTGTATATATATATATACTCATTATTATATATATATATATATATATATATATATATATATATATATATATATATATATTAGTAATGAGTATATATATATATACATATTTTCATCGTGCCTCCCACCAAATTGTTTATAATTACTCCTCTCCATCCAAAGGATGCCTGGAAGAGATCGCTCTTAGCGATAAGGTCGTCTATGGTTTTCTCATTGTGATTATTTCTTGTAATTGTTTATATTTATAATAAGTTTACTACTGTAATCTTTTGAAGGAAACAATAAAGAGTATCTATCTATCTATCTATATGTATATATTATACATAAATAGATGTTTTTTCACTTAATTATTGCTTCATCTAATCTCGTTAACATTAATTTATTGTTGGATTACATTTTATCATTTAAGAAATACTCTTTAATGACTTACGAACAAAAGCATAGATAGAAGATTTGCTAACAACTTTGGGGGTTGTAAATAAAAAAATGAATTAAATATTTCCTATAGTATATATAATTTACATATTTTGTTTGTTTTTGTACACTAGAAATTTTGAGTTCCTGATTCCCGATGCACCAGAGCTCGTGGCGAACTTTTTAGAGGGCGAACAGGATATGTCCTGCAAGAGGAACGCCTTCCTAATGCTTCTCCATGCTGACCAGGAGCGGGCACTCTCCTACCTCGCTTCCAGACTTGACAATGTTCACAGCTTTGGAGATATTCTGCAGTTGGTTATTGTAGAGCTGATTTACAAGGTAATTTTACGAAAAAAAAAAAACCGCATAAATAACATACTTTGCTATAAACCACGGGTGGCCACTTGACTGGACCCAAGATCTACTATTTACTGACGAAACCCTGTGCGATCTACCAACTATATACATCTTGTAATCTGAAATGAAACAACATAGTTTAGTACACAATTATGTATTGTTGTAGTATTTTTTATTTTAATAAGAGGAAAATCATAAAACTGAAAATTATTCTCAAGAACTACTTATTTATATTAGCAAAGTTTTATATTAAAGATTGTGGAAAACCTTGCCACGATCGACTGGACTAATAGTCGCCATCGATCAGTTGGCCACTTCTGATCAAAACCAAGACGAAAATAATATTTTCTCAAACATGCTTGGAAATGTGAGCATTAGTTTGACAATTAATTTTTCTTTGAGATAAATTAAAATTGCTGTACTGGCCAGATACATGCGGGCGGCGGCAAAAGGAAAAAAAGTTGTATGAAAATCCATATCTGTCGTGTTTTGCGGCCAGATAAATTACTATGTGAACTCATATCTGTCCTGTAATTTAAAAATGGAATGACCTTTTACTTCGAAACATGGCTACCAAGGAGGTAACTAATAAAATGTTTTATTTAAATTTCGAACTGGCTTGCAAATAGAAAGCTTATTGAAAAAAAAAACAAAGGAACATTATGGCGCTTGAAAAATTATTATTGTTCGTTATTCGTCATTGAACTTAAAAAGTAAAATTGTATTTTTGATTTCCGCGCATTGTTTGAGAAAAGTACTATACAAGCCTTGGCTACAACTAGGCATTGATGGACTCACGTATGTGTTCCTCGGCTACGCCTCGGCCCACATTTGCACGTTCGTCCATCAATGCCTCAGTTGCTGGCCGCTGCAGTAATGTACTATTTCTGTGTGCGCACTAGGTGTGTCACGCGAACCCCTCAGAGCGGTCACGGTTCATCCGAACTGTGTATGGTCTACTGAACTCTTCTAGCGCGGCTGTCCGCTATGAGGCGGCCGGCACCCTCGTGACATTATCGAGCGCCCCTGCTGCTCTTAAGGTATGTATGAGAGGTATATACATTTTTTTTTCTAATGATAGCAATTGTCTAAATTTAAAACCAGATTCCTTGCTTCCATATTTGCGTATATTTAATGGAACTTTTAGTACAATATCAATAGTACGGTACACTATCATGTCGCGTAAGAAACCTTACATAAGCTGTACATAAACGAGGGTGGCTCTCCTGTTAATGGAAAGGCAAGGCTTCTGTTTTCTTTGGTGATAATGGTATGATGTTCCTGCATCATACCATTTCATCAAGCCAAAAGCAAAAATAAGGGTCCTTTAATTTGGATACACCATAGTGTGTGACTCTATAAAGAAATAAATAATTTATTTAAAGAAATAAATAAATAATTTATTTAAAGAAATAAATAAATAATTTATTTAAAGAAATAAGTAAATAAATAATTTGGTCACACCATAGTGTGTGACTCTATAAAGAAATAAATAATAAATAAACTTTATTTCCTTAAACAAAATTAGCCTATGGTACAATATAACTATGACCCCACACTAGGCAAAGCCTGTTTCGTGGAAGTCAAAGCTAGAAATTTAACAGTTATAGTGCGGCGAACAGGGTTAATTTAAATATGTGACATTGAATGCGAGTTTGGATATGCATGTGTTTGTATGTGTGCGTGCGTCGTGCGTGCGTGCGTGCGTGAGTGCGTGCGTGCGTGCGTGCGTGCGTGCTGGCGAGCGTGCTTGCATGCGTGCGTGCGTGCGAGCGTGCGTGCGATCGTGCGTGCGTGCGTGAGTGCTTGCGTGCGTTTGCGTAAGTTAGTGCGTAAACTATATATGAAGGTCGTATAATTCCAGTTCTGTCCCATAAATCACAATGCGCTTCTTAAAAATTTCTCTGTATCCTCGTAAGACCAAGACATTAATAGTTCATGAACGTGTTTTTTTGCAAATAAAAATTGAAATGGCAAACAAGCTGACGGCCCACCTGATGGAAAGTGGTAACCGTCGCCTATAAACATGAGCGGTACCATGGACATAACAGAGTATACTGATTCGCCCCTGATACCCCCCATGCGTTGCCATTCCTGAGGACTCAGATGTTATTTCTCTGTACCCTGTAAATTCAAGCCTTATCCCACCCTTCAAACCGAAACACAGCTATGCAAACACAACTGCTTCACGGTTGAAACACGAATGGGACAGAGATACTCAAGCAATCGACTTTTGTACAAAGTCTCTCTCTGGTATATTTGTAAGGTATAATTATGGTGATGTGTCTATGGATATGGAGGTATGTGGATGGGCCCTAATACGAGATGTGGTGTTGCAGGCAGCGGCAGCATGCTACATCGATCTGATCGTGAAGGAGAGCGACAACAACGTGAAGCTGATCGTGGTGGGGCGGCTGGCGGCGCTGCGCGAGGAGGGCGGCGAGGCGGCCGCGCGCGCCCTGCCTGATCTGGCCATGGACGTGCTGCGCGTGCTGGCCGCTTCCGACCTAGACGTGCGCCGCCACACGCTGCACCTCGGTACGGCTACCATTAGGTTTTAGGGGGGGATTAATAGCCCCATTATTAGCAATATACTATATCAGGTCTATTTCCTCGTGGTTCCCCCCGGAAATCATCGTGCATAGGTCTCCCCCATCCCTGTTTATTGAAATCTATCCTCCGCCACTCTACTCGAGGCGGAGTTACTACTCGTAAAAAAAACTCAGCTTCAGGACATCGTTTCTTCGTTTCGGAGGGGCTTCGATTTGAAAGTGTTGTGTGTGCATGTTGTGTGTGCAGCGCTGCGCAAGGAGCTGGTGCGCGGCCTGGCCCGCGCTCAAGCACGCCCTCGGATGTGATGGTGTGCGTGCAGGTGGGCGCGCTGCGCGCTGCGCAAGGAGGCGGCGCGCGCGGCCGCCGCCGACCACGACGACGCCGCGCGCTACCGGCGCGCGCGGCCCGCCGCCGACCACGACGACGCCGCGCGCGCGGCCGCCAGCTGCTCGTGCGCGCGGCCTGCACCGCGCCGCGCTCACCGCGCCGCGATGGTGTGCTCAAGGTACCGCGCGCGGCCGCCGCCGAGCTGCCCTCGCGGCCTGCACCGGCCGCGCTCAAGGTACCGCATGTGATGGTGGTGCGTGCAGCGCTGCAGCTGCAGCTGGAGCTGGTGGCCGCGCTGCGCAAGGAGGCGGCGCGCGCGGCCGCCGCCGACCACGACGACGCCGCGCGCTACCGCCAGCTGCTCGTGCGCGGCCTGCAGCGCCGCGCTGGAGCGCGCGGCCCTCGGGACGGCGCGCTGATGGTGTGCGGCCTGCAGCGCGCAGCTGCGCGAGGCGCAAGGAGGCCACATACTGTGCACGCTGTGCGGGGAGAAATGGGAATCCATGGAACACTTGATGTACAACTGCGATTCATTAGCAAGTATGCATATGAATCTACTGGGAACAGCTTATCCAGAACCAGGGGATTACAGATATCTTCAATCGCGGGGTATCGTTAAGGTAACACATAGGATCTATGAAATGATGGTATAAGGTAGAAGGAAGCACAAAAGATCCGTATGGGTCAACGTGCATCGGCTTAACTGACTTCGTATGCGAAAAATAAGATAAGATCCCCTCACTGGTACCCCGCCAGCGTATATCGATAACGCAAGCGGGGTTACCATTTCATTATCATCCATTAAAAAAAAACATGCTTACCATTCACACATACGAGTCGTCATATAGCCGTAGTTATATTGAAATTGCAGTATTTATCACACAGTATAAAATTAGTGTAATCGTGACGTAGTATCCGACATACTGTTAGGGCTGTATCACTAAGTGTAACTGGGGACGGTGGTGTGGCAGTTCCCCGAGGTGGCGGGCAGCGTGGCGCCGGCGCTGCTGGAGCTGGTGGGCGAGGGCGCGGAGCCGGCGGCCGTGGACGTGCTGCTGTTCCTGCGCGTCGCACTCGACAGCTTCCCGCACCTGCGCGACCACATCTACCAGGTCAGCTGGCCTCCACTCCACTTCACTCTACAATACGGACTGACTGGCGGAAAACTAATCCCGCATTACACATATTAGTAGCTACTCAGAGTCAATCAATCGTAATTTAACAATATTCAGATAGATCGCCAACAGTTCAAGTTTGATCATCTATAATGAATCAGTAATATCATATCTATTATAAGTTCATTTATTTATCTTTGTAGTGCAGGAAGAAAAAGCGTTACTTGACCGTGTTAACTATTTTAACATTATCTAATACTATATTGAAATACTATATATGTTAAAATATGTTCCATGATATAGAAATTGCTGGAGACAGTGACGGGTATTCGCGTAGGCAAGATCGCGCGCTCCGCCCTCTGGTTGCTGGCCGAGTTCGCCGATACGCCGGAACGTGCTATCGCTGCGCTGGACGTACTTGCAGCCGTCATACCTACGCCCTCCAGTGGAGAGAACAAGGTAATATATCTACGGTGTATGTAAGTAAACTATATAAACTGTTTAAACGAGACAAATCTATCTAAAAATTATCCTCAAATGAGGTTTGATCTTTTTTACATTGGTTTCCCATACACCACCTATGGAAGTGCTTAGTTTATTTAAAATAAGTAATATGTTGACAAGGGATTTTTTATTACTTCATTACATACTCGTAAGCTTTGTTATCTAAGTAGTGATTATATTTGAACGTTTCTTCGTGCATAGGAGGAGGAGGAGGCGGCCCAGACGAAACCGGAAACGGCGCCACGGCAGCTGATCACTAGCGATGGCACCTATGCCACCCAGTCCGCCTTCAACTTGCCGACGTAAGTCGTCCCTGCAATTCAATTTGACTTGAAATTATTTGTTATAATTTGTTCTGTACAAACGTGTGTACTTAACGGTGGGCCGTACTAGGTCGGGCACGGGCCCCGGCAGCGGCGCGAGCGGCGGGGCGGGGCGCGCGCCGCTGGGCGCGGCGCTGCTGGAGGGCGACAGCTTCACGGCCGCGTGCGCGTGCTCGGCGCTGGCCAAGCTGGCGCTCAAGCTGCCCGCCGCGCAGCACGCGCGCGCGCTGCACCGCGCCGCCGCGCTGCTGGCGCTGCACCGCGCGCGCGGCGGGTGCGGCGGGCGCGGCGGCGCGGCCGCGCTCACGGCCGACGACGCGGAGCACGGCGCGCGCTGCCTGCAGGCGGCCGCCGGCGCCGCGCCGGCCGCGCGCCGCGCGCTGCTGCACGCGCCGCGCCGCGCGCTGCACGCGCTGCTGGCGCTGCCCGGCGCCGCGCACGCGCCGCTGCTGCCCGCGCAGGAGGCCGAGCGCGCGCCGCGGCCGCGCCGTGCCCGCGCCGTGCCGGTGGAGGCGGGCGTCCAGTTCGCGGCGCTGGCGGGCGCGGGCGCGGCCGCCGCGCACCACGACATGTTCGAGCTCGCGCTCAACAAGGCGCTGCAAGGTACGCGACGCCCGTGCATCCAGCGCGCGGGGCTCGCAGTGGTTGCTATACTAACCTAGAGTATAAGATTACGCAGTCGTCTAGTACTCATATTGATTAATGTGTTTCTTAAACAGCATTGAACAAACTAGTCCTTTGAGCCGAATCGAAAGCATCAAACCGAGGATGATTTTTGTTCCCGCAGGTCGCAGCGGTGGCGCCAGCGAGGAGCGTGGTAAACTGTCGAAGGTGACGCAGCTGACGGGCTTCTCGGACCCCGTGTACGCGGAGGCCATCGTTTCCGTCAACCAGTACGACATTGTTCTCGACGTGCTCATCGTCAATCAGACAGGTGAGTTAGAAGTAGTTCCACAGAGTGAACACCTCGTTCATTATCATATAATCATTTGAAATATATTAAAAGCATTGGACCATTGATTATTCCTTACACTGTAATAGTTTAGGCAATGATCAACCACACATTTTTTTTTATAATAAGTTAACAATTAATTATTTCATTTATTTAATACTCTTAAATAATTATCGATATATGATATATATTATTTCGTGTAAACTTTCTCTTCGTCTGTATTATTATAATCGAAAATACGATACGTCTATTAAATATTGCTGAGGTCCGACTCGAAGGACCAGAGTGTTCGATCTCTTTACATGATGATTTTTTATAAACATATAAGAATGTTTCATTATATTAAATTTAATGATTGTGTATGTATAATGACTATTTACATTATGATCATAGATAGCACAAAGTCTGTTGGTGTATATGCAGGGATGTTTAGTAAGCTGTTTACTTATTGTATTGCTAATGTTGATTATGTGTGTGTGTGGCAGCGAGCGGAGTACTGTATAAGAGTGTGCGTGGTTAGTATGGCGAGCGGGGGAGGATTATGTGTGCGTGTATGCGTGCGTGTGTACGTGTATGCGTGCGTGTGTGCGTGCATGCGTGCGTGTGTGCGTGCGTGTACAGGTAGCTGTGTTCTATGTACTGTCGCCATACGCAGACGACACGCTGGTGAACTGCACGGTGGAGCTGGCGACGCTGGGCGAGCTGCGGCTGGTGGAGCGGCCGGCGGGCGTGGTGCTGGGCGCAAGGGACTTCGCCACCATCAAGGCGCACGTCAAGGTCGCCTCCACCGAGAACGCCATCATCTTCGGCAACATCGGTACGCACCACGCACCCACCTACTAGTATATGCCAGCCATGGCCGTTATTAGGCTCTCTCTAATGTGTTTTGAATGCCAAATTCTATGTATATATGCCAAATTTTATAATAATTGGATCAGTCATTGACACGCCGAGAGGTAACAAACAAACTTGATTTTACATTTTTAATATTAATAATAACCTTATAAATTGTCAATTGACATATATTCTGTATTATTAGTTTTTGCTACTAACGCTCCTATTATTTTTCCGAGGGAGTCACACCTTAGTGTCAAGATTTTTTTATTTTCTTTATCGCAAATGTTCCCCCAAGCATACATTAAGTAAAAATAATGAATTTTTAAAAACATCCAAAATGTTTAGACTGAGGTTCGATATTACAATCTCATTGTCTAACTCAGTTATTACCACTAATCTTCTCATATAAAAAAAAATTACATAGTGTACGAGGTGAGCGGTGCATCAATGGACCGCGGTGTGGTGGTACTGAACGATATCCACGTTGACATAGTGGACTACATCCAACCCGCCGTCTGCAGCGATGCAGACTTCCGTCAGATGTGGGCCGAGTTCGAGTGGGAGAATAAGGTAAATATCGTACACATGCATAGACACCTATGTCAATATGGATATCGATATTGACGTCTATACCAACATAGATATAAATACCGATACATATACGTTGACAAAGATACCAATACCGACACCTACATCGACATAGATGTCGAAACGTACATCTACACCGACATAGATATGGATACCGACACATACACCGACATAGATATCGATACGTACACCTACACCGACATAGATATCGGTACGTACATCTACAACGACATAGATATCGGTACGTACATCTACACCGACATAGATATGGATACCGACACATACACCGACATAGATATCGATACGTACACCTACACCGACATAGATATCGATACGTACACCTACACCGACATAGATATCGGTACGTACATCTACACCGACATAGATATGGATACCGACACATACACCGACATAGATATCGATACGTACACCTACACCGACATAGATATCGGTACGTACATCTACACCGACATAGATATGGATACCGACACATACACCGACATAGATATCGATACGTACACCTACACCGACATAGATATCGGTACGTACATCTACACCGACATAGATATCTATAGCGATACCTACACCGACATAGATATCGATATCCGAATATTGAAATAAAAAGTATAAAGAAGATGATGGTAAAAGGACATCGTTTATTGTGGAAGTGAACAGGAAAATAGAATCGTAACAAAAGAAAAGTATGTAAAATTTGAATAATCCGATTTTTAGTTTATATTTTTTCTAAAGAGGTTGATTTGCGAATGATCGCAAACAATGTAGCTATCAATATTACCTATTCTGGTACTTGATATATATATATATATATATATATATATATATATATATATATATATATATATATATATATATATATATATATATATATATATATATATCGAGGAATACTTTGATATTAAAAACAATACTTATAGAATATATTTTAATTTTTAGGTGGCAGTTAATACGAATATTACAGATCTACGCGAATATCTGGATCATTTGCTGGCATCCACCAACATGAAGTGTCTAACGCCAGACAAGGTATGCTATTGTGAACTTACAGTTTTTTGTTTCACTCTCTGTCAAATACAAATATATGAAATCATATGTAAATCAGTGTATATCAATTTAGTGATGATTTTTTAGATATAGTAATTTTTTTTTATCATTAGTCTTTTTTTATGCAACTTAGAATGACAAACAGGCTGACGGCCCACCTGATGGAAAGTGGTAACCGTCGCCTATTAGACATGAGCAATACCGTGAACATAACCGAGTATACTGTTTCACCCATAATACCCGCCATGCGTTGCCATTTCTGAGAATTCAGGTGTTATTCCTCTGTACTCAGTAAATTCACGCCATATTCCACCCTTCAAACCGAAACACAGCCATGCAAACACAACTGCTTCACGGTTGAAACACGAATGGGACCAAGTCTCCCTCTGTCTCCCTCGGTCGGTTAGTAGTATGATCGCTATGTGTTGGCGTGCGTGTCGGCAGGCGCTGTCGGGCCAGTGCGGGTTCATGGCGGCGAACCTGTACGCGCGCTCCATCTTCGGCGAGGACGCGCTGGCCAACCTCAGCATCGAGACGCCGCTGCACAAGAAGCCCGCGCAAGCCGCGCCCGTCGTCGGACACGTGCGCATCCGCGCCAAGAGCCAGGTATGACCCCCAGCTAGTTACGCGCATATCCGCGTCTAGGACCAGGTACATCCGCATCCTTCATCATCTTCATTTCAACCTGTATATCCGTCCACTGCTGAATATGGGCCTCTTCTCCTGTTGGGGCTTTGCCAGTAATTGCCATGCTTGGCAGTCGCATTGCCAACGACAGTTAGTCTTTGGTTGCGTTTTAAGAGAGATACTGCTGCCCATTCTTCGACTATTAAGTTCCCTTTGTCGCCTCTTACGACTTATACAGGAAAGGAAGTGGCCCATTCTATATCAGGGCCATACCCAAGATAATATTTAGATGAATTAATTCTTAAAAAATATTTATCCTCAACATGATAACTTGGGGGGGGGGGGGGGCATTGATAGTAATGAGGTCTAACTGACCCATTGCCAGCAATACACCCTGTCAGGTCGACCTCCACGTGGTTCCCCCCTGGAAACCATCGTGGTTAATTCCAGTGGAATTCGTCACGATGGGCTAACAGACCTGGGCCTCTAGACAAGTGGCAAGCGAATTCGTCGATGGAATCGACATCGCTAGCGAGTCCATGAGTTGGAATGAAACATCCGGCGTTGCTATCTCATTCTGTCTCACGGACTCGCTAACGATGTCGATTCCATCGACGAATTCGCTTGCCACTTGTCTAGAGGGCCTGCTATCATTGTCACCTGTCATCTCACTGGGGCCCCGCCAATGTATACCGATAGCTTAGACGGAGTTGTCATTCCATTATCACCTTTAAAATAAAAATATGTTAACTAATGAAGTGCGTTGTGTTCCCAGGGCATGGCCCTCAGTCTCGGCGACAAGATCAACATGATGCAGAAGGCGCCGCCGCAGAAGCCGCCCGCGAACCCCACGCCGGCCGCGTAACCTCGCCCGAGTGTGCACACGACACGTCGCTCCCACTGCCATATTCGTTATGTTTCCATGTGCAGGCCATACAGGTGTTGATTAAATCAATTTGAGACATGTGAAATAGTTGACTAATCATGATTAAAGACCTAAAGCCCTCCCTCGCCCTCCCTTTTTATTAGTTCCCCATATCGACAGATATAACAGTAGTTTCACCTTAGTGTCTTCAGATAAAGATGTTCAGAAAAAATCCTAATAAATTATAAATACTTCAATTTTTGCAGTATCTCTTTTCACGTATTACGCAATAATACAGCGCAAACTAATGTGTGTTTGTTTATATAAATAACTATAAATTGCAAATTTATATAGTAAATAAAAAAAAAAACATCAAAGAACGTTCTAGAAATTCGTTAAAAACAATATTGAAATTTCGTTATTTTGAAAATACATATATGGAGATCAGTAGTTTATGTATCAGTAATAATTTACCAGAGGGAGACTTTGTACAAAAGTCGATTGCTTGGGTACCTCTATCACATTCGTGTTTCAACCGTGAAGCAGTTGTGTTTGCATGGCTGTGTTTCGGTTTGAAGGGTGGGATATGGCGTGAATTTAGGAATGGCAATGTATGGGGGGTATCATGGGCGAAACAGTATACTCTGTTATGTCCATGGTATTGTTCATGTGTATAGGCGACGGTTACCACTTTCCATCAGGTGGGCCGTCAGCTTGTTTGACATTCTAAGTAGTATAAAAAAAAAATTGAAACTTCGTTATTAAAAATACATGTATGGAGATCAGTATCATATATATAATGTTTCACGGCAAGGGAAGCGACAGATTACTAATTGATAGTTCCAGCATTATAATTTAAGTCATATATTTAGCATAAATTATAGTAATACAATGTATGATGGTAATATTCTTGTTTATATTACATTGTTATTATAATTATTTTTCTCAAACATGCTTGTAAATGGGAGCATTATTTTGACAATCTTCTTCGAGATAAATCAAAATTGCCGTACTGGCCAGATACATGCGGGCAGCGGCCGGCAAAAGTTGTATGAAAATCCATATCTATCGTGTTTTGCGGACAGATAAATTACTATGTAAACTCATATTTGTCCTGTAATTGAAAAATGGAATGTCCTTTTACTTCAAAACATAGCTACCAAGGAGGTAACTAATAAAAGGTTTTATTTAAATTTCGAACTGGCTTGCAAATAGAATGCTGTTTATTGAAAAAAAAAAACAAAGGAACGTAATGGCGCGTGAAAAATTATTATTGTTCGTTATTCGTCATGGAACTTAAAAAGTAAAATTGTGTTTTTAATTTCCGCGCATTGTTTGAGAAAAGTACTATACAAGCCTTAGCCACAACTAGGCATTGATGGACTTACGTATGTGTGCCTCGGCTACGCCTCGGCCCACACACGTTCCTCCATCAATGCCTCAGTTGCTGGCCGCTGCAGTAATGTACTATTTTAAATACTTCATAAATAATATATGATTGAATATTATTAATATTAAATTTAATTATAAGTATATTTATAGTGGTTTCTCTTCATTACCTAATTCGAGCTTTGAGAATACATCAATGTCACGGTTGATTTTCTTTTAATTTATGTATCTCTGATACATATCTCTCTCAGAAAAGGTTAAAAAAAAATTAGAGAAAATTAATTTTGCATTAAAGTCAATTAATGCAAAATTAATTTTCATTACCTTCTTTGTAAAGTAGCTTTTTAAACCCCATATGTTTGCAGTGTCTTGCATAGCTTCGTAAGTACATACAGTGAAACTTGGTTAAGTGAGACATTAAGGTTTGTCTCACTTATAGAGGTATTTCACTTACCCAATATCTGTCTCATATACAGAGGGTTCCATATATATATATATATATATATATATATATATATATATATATATATATATATATATATATATATATATATATATATATATATATATATATATATATCAGTCTGTCAGTTAACTCGTTTGTCATTCTAAATTTAAAAACAAAAAACACCTACAATTAATTCATAATATATAACTATAGACAAAATTAACGAATCTAAGAACATGTCAGATATTAAAATCTGTTAAGTCAAACCGTTTTGGGAATCAATTAGGCAAAATTTTTTAATATATATATATATATATATATATATATATATATATATATATATATATATATATAGTATATATATATATATAGTAACCAGTCAAAACTACTTTTTGGTTGGTTTTGACTAAAAATTATTGGTTATTAGTGTTTTTGACTGGTTAAGGGTATTGACTGCAACATATATATTGATAGATGGGTGTAAATAAAAAACTAGTCAGCCTTATGAAATACATTAGTTTATTGTGACGCCGCGTAGATGGCGGTGCGGCGTAGTATAATGCAAGTTCATGTTCCGTAACGAATGATTCAACAGTATAAATAATAAAAATAATTTATAATAGAAATAAGTTAATGGATTGGTTACAAAACAGTACGAACAGACGCGGCCGGCCGAGTCGGCGGCGCGCTGCCCTGGTCGCGGCGTGATGACTCCTTACAGTAACATTGTCTGGAACAAATCGTGTTACTTACTAGAAATAAATACCGTCTAGTCCCTAAATGGGACGGGGGGGGGGGGGGAAAGGAATTGTTGATAATGAGGAGGTTAGTCCCCACAGCTATCAATATACCCTATCAGGTCGACCTCCACGCGGTTCCCCCTGGAAACTAACGTGACTAATTTATCGTTGAATTTGTCACAATGGACTAACTGACCTGCCTTTTCATCTTCACCTATCATTTCCCACTCGTACCCCGCCAGTGTATACCGATAGCGCAGGCGGGTTTTTTTTTAATTTTCTCATGTCTATAGGCGACGGTTACCACTTTCCATCAGGTGGGTCGTCAGCTTGTTTGCCATTTTAAGTTGTATAAAAAAAGTGTGAAATTAGATAAATATACTAACTTCTTCCTCTTCCTCTTCTTCCTCCTCTTCCTCCTCCTCCTCCTCTTCTTCTTCCTCCTCTTCCTCTTCTTCTTCCTCCTCCTCCTCGGGCTCGGGTTCATATATGGGCTCGTCGTCTTCGGGTTCAGCCTTGACGTCCTCTTCGCCCTCCGGCGACTCGGGTTCGCCCTTCTTTTTGCCGGGCCTCTCGCCGAACCACTTGGGCAGTCTCGCTGTTGACCACAATGTTGGCAACATTAGAACGTTCAAAATAATTATTCGCCTATCTATATTCACGCCAGAGTTACAGTGGGTTAAGCAGAGAATGGAAAGTTAAAAGTTTCTATATTTATAAGTGCGCATTTTACAATACCGTTAGACAGTACAATAATTATTCTAATGTATACAATTTTTTTTTTGAGCGACACCTACCTATCTATTCTTTAATTCTTTCTACCCAAAGGTTGTCTGGAAAAGATTGCTTAGCAATAAGACTGTTTTTTCTACTACACTATACTTATCGAAAATTGTTCAACAAATCCTGTTATGTTGGTGAAATAAAGTGTTAAATAAATAAATAAATATTATGAAGAGGAAAGATTTGATTGTTTGTTTGTATTGGATAAACTCAAGAACAACTAAAACGATTTAAAAAAAAATATTATACGTACAGAATATTATAATATTATATAATAATTTAATATTATCGTTGAAAAATACGAAGTCAGGCTGGATCGCTATTTAAAAATATACTAGCGGCCCGTTCCAGTTACGCACGGGTGGACGTTTTTACAACATTTTAAAAAGTGGTTATTGTGACATAACGATAATAGTTGGGCATATAGTATCCAGAAGTTTTTTGTAGTTATCGATATTTTCTTCAATATTGTAGAACATACTTTTGTTCTATCACCAATAGTTTCCGCAGCGCACGCGACCAAAGATATTTTATTGTATTTTTTTTTTACACCTTGAGTTACGTTACTAAAGTTTTAATAAGGACCCCTAATCTTTTCTAGCAATAAATATAGCCTATGTTACTTAGGATGAATGTAGCTTTCTAATGGTGAAAGAATTTTTGAAATCGGCAAAGTTGTTTTTGAGTTTATTCATTACATAACTTACACACAAAAATACAAATCTTTCCTCTTTATAATATTAGTGTAGATGTAAACATATATTGTAAGTTACAATTAATGTATTCTAGAAAGTGTAAAACATATTCAATAGCTTCATTATTAGCTGATCAAAAATAAGATTTACTTGACTTTTTTCTCACTGTTCACTACCTATAATAATGAAAGCAGAATTGAAATTTGAAATTCCTCAGTACCTTGAATTGGCGATCAAGTATGATCACTGCAATTATATCTGTAAGTAAACTCGTATTATATCCGTTGTATATATCATCATCGTCATTATATCCGCTGTTAGGTATCTACTGCTGAACACAGGTCTCCCCCATAAGCCTCCATAAGGGGGGTTTTTGCTATACTACGTTTGGCAGGAGAGTTCCCAACAGCAGGTAGGTTTTCGGTGATGTTTAAAGAGGAACGCTGCTGGCTATCCCTCAAACATTAATTTCCCTTCTTCGCCTCTTACGACACCTACGGTAAAGGAAGGGGTGGTCCATTCTATGCCGGGACCATACGCCAGCATTAGATATGTAGTTAGTATAATACTCAAACATTGTCGGGCAAAACGTATGTTATTCACAATTCTAATATTCTAAAATGGGGGGAAACAAAGTATTCGAGTCGGATTATTTTTATGGTGTAAGTGAAAGGTGGCGGTACTCACTCTTTTGCCTGCCGCCGAACTGCTCGGCCCTCTCGTGCCACACCTTCTCGAGGAAGTCCTTGTTCAATTTCTCTAGGTCCTAAAGGAATGGCCAACACTGGGGTCAATAAACATACACGGGAATATTCAGTCACGGGGCGTGTCTAGCTTGGATGGCATGCGTTACATACAGTTCCCGAAATACATGGTTAACATAGTACAGTTAGTAACAACATAGAAGAAGGGATATTGAAGTTAATTTTTTTAAATTTAGAATCGTCTTTCACTTAACACCTCAGCGACATCAGCGGCGTCTACGGTATATTTTAGAATTGTATGGGAAAAATTCCTAACAACGCGGAAACAGTTTCATTATAACTATGATAATTAGATGGGAGAAGGGATTGTTAGAAATTAAGATGTACCAAATTCGCTTGTCATCTTTCATACACTCCATCCAACATTTCTTTCATCGTCTCTTCCATTTCATATCCATCAAGTTAATATTTAACATTTCTATAGGGATCTTACGCGACCTTCGAACTTAGCTAACAAGATTATCTACTTAATGAAGTTATAGGTATACCTTACTGTAGTCTGTAGGAGGGAAGGGAATTATTAGCATCAGGTCGACCTTCACGTGGTTTCCTCTCGAAATCATCATGGTTAATTCTTGTTAAAATCATTACGATAGGCCAACTGAGCTGTTTACATCCTCACCTATCACCTCTCACTAGTGCTCCGCCAGCGTATACCGATAACACAGGCGGGGTTGCCATTTTTACCAATTAAAAAAACTATGCTAATTTGATCCTGAGGCGTTAAATAGACGATATCAATACTCTAGCCATATTCCAAATTCGAATTTAAAATGATATGTAGAATCGAATTTAGAGTATAAATTTTTGAGAGAATTCAGATTGTCTCCAAAATGGTACTATTGTTGCAGACTGTACTTAAGGACGTCTCTTTGTATATATGTAAATACGAGTGATACATGGAGGTTGTTGGGAGGTTTCCAAACATGGTGTATGTAAAGTGCATGCCGTGAAGACATGCGTCGTGGGGGCTACCGAGCAGTGGGTAGGTACTGGTGCACGTAACATATGCACGTCTTACTCTTGGTGCGGTTCATAAATTCCTCCATCCTCTCGTTCCACATCTTATCCAAGAACTCAGCCGTTTGGGTATCGTAGCCCTGCGTTTAAATTTAACGTTTACAATCTCTGAGTATGATGAAAATCGTTTGTCTCTGTACATATATCCCTTTCGTGTTTCTGTTACTACGTAGCTGTTACTACGTTACTTGTATGGTTGTGTTTCGATTTGAAGGGTGGGACGTGGCAGTAAAATTAAAGGCTATGATGGAAACATGTTGCATAAAAAACCCTTTTGCATTGTCTTGTAAACAGTACTGACTTTCTATTTTTTTATACCACTGAGGTGACAAATAAGCATACGTCCCATTTGTCATTAAGAGATTACCTAAGCCTTTGAACGCCTGCAATACCAGGGGCATTACGCGCGCGCTGCCGACCCTGAAGAAACCTCTTAACCCCTTTTTTAAGAACCCTATGCTATTTCTGCCTTCTTCCTTAGACAAGAGACGAATAAATAGACAAATATCCATTATTACCGCTGTGTACTTGAGATAGAACGAAACAGCAACATCCTACGTCTTATTCTTTTTACGTCAAGTAAAACTGTAGACTTGTTTAGTATTTGTCTAAAGGAGATTGCTTGTATTTTTTAAATTATGCAACAAATCTTCCAATTAGGAGTGGGTAATATGTAGTAATACCTATATATTTTAGTTACAATATCTATTTACTAGTCCAGTAACGAATCTGTTAAAAGTCTGTTAACCAAAAAATAAAATTGGATAACAGACTTAATATATTGAAAAATAGATATCCTACCGATATGGGCGATATCGAAATAGGTGTCCTTTTTCTGCCATCAACGTCCAGAGCAACCCAATAAACAAATATCGGATCGGTATTCATATCTATGTCTAGTCCGAATAAAGTCACCCTAATTGATATCTGACCATTCGCTGTGTTCTTATTATTTAATACAATTCATCATATATTTATAATGTATTTTATCAAATAAGAAGTGTAAAAGAAACAATTTTCACTGCTAACTCATAAGGCCATTTATGGAAAAATATGTAAATCATCCAATACAATGTCAATTACTATACCATAGATTTATACGTATTGTAGACCAATATGTATGCTTTATGGTATTAATATTCGTGTTGATAAATTTATAATAATTTTGCTAGAATGTCATAATATCTGTGTTTATACTTACACCCTCGAACAGCTTCTTTTTGTCGTCGTAAGACCGTGTGTCGACACGTCTCTCGTACTTGGATGCTACTTGGATTTTGGGCTGTAAATTGTATAAGATCATTATTTATTTCCCTGATTGATGAAAATTTATTAACGTCCCACTGCTGGGTCCTTCGCCACAAGCAGGACAATTACTCTACTATTACTATATGGCCAAGTGGCTTGCTTTTATATTTTTTCTTTCTATTCTTGTACTCCTGTATTTTGCTTCGTTCCTCTAGTCGCCTTTTAAATATCTTGGATATTAGAATCCGTTGCTGAACATACTGTTTTCAATAGTAAACCTTTTGTTTGTTAAAATTCAAATTTGAAACTTATTATATATTATTTGGAATACTTTATTCTTTTTAATTTGAATGTTTTATTTGTACTTACCGGATGCTTGCCTGTGAGTGCCTCTGGGTCGAGACCCTTCTTGAGGGCTTTGTGCCTCAACTGTTGCTTCTGTCTTTCTTTGAGCTCTTTTAACTGTTAACAAAGAAACATTTTTAGTTTTTACTTCATCTTCAAACTTTATATTTGCTAGAGATATAAAGGGAATACTTACGTCGTAGTCCTGCCTTTTTTGCCTTTCCTCGAGATCGTATTTCTCGGTCTCGAGTTTGACGATACATTCCCAGAGTTCGGTAGCTTTCTGTCTGAGCTTGTCTACTGAGAGGTTGTCGATGTTCAGGGGCTTGATGCGGATGGAGAGGGAGATCTTCTTCTCCTCCTCCAGCTGCTCCTTGGTCTTGTTGCGTTCCAGCTGAGCACTGGACAGGCCGAACTATTACAAAAAAAATAACACTTGATTTGGTCCATTTTGTTGAGTACTAAAGGTATATTAAAGATACATTTTTATTGGGAACTAATCATCCACTTATCGTATATCAAATCTTATATTACTCTCTTATTTCGTCAATTCATAACTAGTACTACATGATCTGTCTTAGCTTGACAAACCAGTCTAAGGTCTTCCTCAATACCTACGTCATTCTACGTTCTCACGTATCCGTTTCGTCATCCTTTCATATGATATTCTTTCTCTCCACATACCGAAATAAAAGCAAAACGAAAATCTGTTTGCTCTCTCTCGTACTACAATATTATGTATACGGTTTAATTTCACGGATTCTTTGCAGTGTTCCTGTTTCGAATTAAGTAACTACTAATTGCACGTATATTAAGAATTTATTGAATGTTTGCAGCGTAATTATAACTACAATAGGTTATGAACTTACGTTGTCGCTCTTTTTCTGGATGGTGAAATTTGGTCCGGTTTTGCTGGATTCCTTCATGGCCTGGAGCATGGCCTGGCGCTTCTTTTCGGCTTCCTCCAGCCGTTGTCTCTTCTCCTCGATATCGCGCTGTTTCTTTTCCTCAATCTCACGGATTCTCCTTTCTTCTTCTTCCTTCTTCTTCTGGGCGAGGCGTTTCTCTTCCTCAGCGCGTGAGACCTATTTTATGATAATTAAAAATTCTTTTAGTTTACGTCATTATATAGTCTTACCGTTACTAATGTAGTCAGTTTTAAAAAGCATAAAATTTACAATTAAATTGCTGTTAAATTCGATAACGGAAATTTCAAAAGTTAAATGAAATTCACGTGAAGTTAAATGAAGTTCGTAATAAAGCAAGCTATTCAAACCTTGCGCTTAGCCTGCTTCTCTTTGAGCCGCTTGAGCTCGTCCTCCTCCTTGGCCCGCTGTTTGCGCCATTCGTTGATGTATTCCTTCAGCTGTTCGTCCAAGTCCGACCGCTTCTGGTCTTGACGCTGCAATCAATTTGATATTGTTAAGTTATACGTAAAAATAGACATATCTACTTTAATTCTTTTGTTCATATTTAACGGTGACGGTTATGGTTGTCCGTCTCCTGGGCCTTTAACTTGTTTACCATTCCTTACAGCATAAAAAACGAGTGCAGTCTCAAATACAAAGTTTAAAAACCTTAAACCATAAGTTGAATAGAAGATTCGATGGATACTGCTTTTCATCAGGTGAACCATCATCTTATAAGAATAAATTAAATAGCTCAGTAATAAGGATTCTATTTTTATTACTCGGCTGCTGGATCGCAGAAAAAGAATTTTTATATTGCATAAATGAAGTTACCAGGTTGAAATAATGAATCTTTGAGATAATTTAACTGAAAAGTATCTAAAATATAATCACCTTGATGAATTCTGGATCTCCCTCACCCCTGCAAAAACAAGAAATTGATTAGCGATTCGATATTTAAATTATGCCATGTTAAATGTTAGAAAACCGTTATTTGAACGGCTACAATACATAAAATATACTTGTTACGGTGGCTGAGTTTATCAGTTTATTTCTGTACGTTAGGGTATCAGTTTATCTGCTGACACGCTATTTTAGTAGCGTCTAAGCAGGGAGTTTAGATTCTGTACATATATTATAGTTAAGGTTTAGCTATTATGCCAATTTCTTTGTAAACATAAGGACGACTGTTAACACTTGTTCTGTTATATGATTATCTGCATTTTAATATAATATATTAAATATTCCATAAACTAATTGTCGATCTGTCGGACTTATTACTGATTTGTGTCGGTATTATTGTCATTAAAGCGCGTGTACAGTTTTGAATTGTAATATTTGGGGTTTGTAACATGGCTGACTAGAATAACAATTACTATGGAGATGTTGTACATATATATATTATAGATAATTATATTATTACTCAGGTGATCATGCTTTGGTATCATACACATCATGCAAGTCTAGGAATCCGGCGCGGTAACTCGAACAGGTAGTTGCCTGCTGACCGACATCTCGTTCCTTGGCGAAACGGCGCGGGCGCAGTGTGGCGTTACACGAAAATAGATCGCCTACCGACCGATATAAATAGCGACCGCTGACGCCGCGCTGTAATACGTTTACCGGTCATCTGGTCCGATGATAAATCCGGAATTTGGGTGCGATCGTAAAACATGCGCCCGCGCCATTTCCAGTTAATGCTTGGATTATAGTTAGTGACACCACAGAGAGCGGTGCAACTTACGCGATCGATGGTCTACTCCTAGAAACAGAAAACAACAATCAGCCTCTAATGTCTTTGCATTTATCTACATTTAACACAAAATAACCTTTTCTAACACTGACACTCAATCAAGTTTAAATGAACCATTTCTTTTGTTCTGAAAAGGGATTGCCCTTTGTTATTTAATTGAGTACCAGTTAAGGTTCAGAGGTTCATAAAATAACAAATGAAGCGGTGACAAAAATTATTCTGCACATCCACGACACACTGCTTTAGAAGCCCAACGTAAATATACACTTCTATAGAATCCCAAAAAAATTTAGACGTAATTTAATCCAACAAACGGCTAGATATCCACTAGATACTGTAAATGTTATTTTATGCCAATCATTCCAATTTTATGCCCACAATACATATCCGTCGGCTATCAAGCGAAGCATTGAACATACATTCATAATCAATATACTCACTCTGGTTTCGGAGCGGGTCTTCACGGGGCGACAGTGGTACAACGACGCAGACGAGCATAAAAGAAATATACACGATTATAATTTGAACTTTGTATAAAGTAAAATACAATAAGCTTACGGAGTTAAAAGGCATATGAAACAAAATAAAATCAAGTCCAGGTGGGATGCAGCCCATAGATTCGTTTAATTCTAGTGTGAGTATCGTACTGACCTTTCTAACAGGAACACTATGTCAGATACGTGGCGATATGTACATGTCTAGGGTTAGTGAAGCTCGCTTTCGCAACGCTGCAGCACCTAACAGTTTAGTGATTATCTGTAAGCAACAGAGGCGACAACTTAAGCACCAGAAGCATTAGAGTAGCATCTAAACTTAGCCTAAATGAGCCAAGCGAGTGTGAGTGCCGGAACCAAAAGGACACGCCACTTACTTCCTGCAACAAAAGAGATAATAGGATTTGGTGAGGGCGTGCAATAAGCCCAAGAATTGGGAGCTCGAAGAGATTGGGGGCCACACTTGCGATCATGCCTCAAATCGTCCACACCTTGTAGGTACAGCCAACTAAATCTCGATGTGTTTTCATAGGTTTTTCTTTATTCTAATAGTTTCGAAAATGGCAGTTTCGCTAAGGCAAAGTAAGAAACCAGGCCCATGAAAGCGCAAGTGTTCAAACTCCAAACACATCTAAAGAGAACTATATAGATCTTTGAAAGAGATAGATGGAAGATATTGACAATTTACTATAGAAACTTACGTCTCCGGAACTTCTTCTTCAACTTCCTCCTCCTCGGAGCCACTGCGGAATAGAGGTGGGGGTTAACACTGGGTACATCATGTATTGGGGTCTCAGACATTACATGACACAGAGAATGAAGGGGACTGATCATTATCACAAGAGTGTTAGTGCACAACATTTTGGGTATTGAACCTTCAAGACATTAATGCCCATAGTTCACTTGCGTCCACCATCTGAATCCATGTGACATGATCTTATCATTTTGAGATTCAGATCGTGGATCCTAGTGATCGAAGATCTTTTCAGTGAATGTGTTTGTATTAGTGTTTTGGCTCTGTAGACAGAGTAATGCATCTACGATGTTCTTAATTGAACAGTCCGAATTATATGGACATTGCTCTAATTTGGTTTAATTTGTGTATACGTTACGAGATGTTTACACAAATTCTTCACAATTTCACCACTTTTTTTGCAATCGGCAGGATTGTTTCGGTACAAATAAGTTTTTTTTTGTTGTGGACCAAAATGCAAATAAATTGTCACATGGTCGGCGACCTTAAACTTTTTATTGATCAAAACCATGTCGTGAAACATTGAGTGTGCTACATGTACCTACTTATCATAACGACATGAATATTGGTAGTATCAGCGGTTGAAACATTAACAGAAAAAGATTAATCATGTAATATTGTATAAAAGTTTATAAAAAGACTCTACATGAAATATGTTCGGTGGAATCGCGTTATTATAATATGTCTTTTATTAGATTTTTTATACATTTCCAAATCAAGGAAACACTCAATTCGGTCATATTTCTTTTTTGTTATGCGGTATCTGTTGAATCCGTTTTGTTAATTATTTTTGCATTTATATTAGCATATAGCAAATTTCTTTGGACTAAAGTAGTTGATTTTTTTTTTGTAGCAGAAATTAATTATTACTTTGTCTACTGGCCTTGTGTGCTTGAATAATATTTAAATGTCTTAATGTTTAAATGTCTATTTCTATAAAACATATCATGGCTTTGTGTTTATACTTACGAATATTCCTCTTCGTCAGACATGTTGGTGGTTTGTTAGTCTGGAATACATAAATAAATTTAGTTTATACATTATAACTATTTTATCACCCGTTAACTGTCCACTGCTGTACATAGGCCTCCCCATAAGAGAGTTATGCCGGTAATTGCCACGCTCGGCAGGCAGCAACTGCAGTATGGATTTGGTGATGTATAAAAAGGGACGCTGCTGCCTATCCCTCGACTATTACGATCCTATAGTCGCCAATTACGACACCCACGGGAAAAGAAGGATTAGTCCATTCTGTGCCGGGATTACAAAGCATATTTAGTTTATATAATATAGTATTTTTCACCTACAAGTATATGTTAGAATGTTACTTTACTGTTTGTTGGCATGTTTTCGTACAAAATTATTTTGTAATTCAACTTTGTTTGTAACAGTGAAGCTAATTATATATTCGATATATTCAATTGCCAATTATCATTCCATTGGCGACTTGTCAATATTTTTGTTTGTTTTTAACCGACTTAAAAAAAGGAGTAGTATTTTTATGTTTGTTACCTTATAGCACCGTCAGTGTACTTAGTTCTTATGACTGAAACCAATTTTGATGTAATTTGGTACAAGAATGCCTCGGACATTTTTTAAGTAACATATTATAAATATGCCTGTATAGTTAAAAAATTAAATTCCGTAATTTAATTGAAACGCCACGTGTTTATAAATTAATAATATTGTAAAAGCGAAAATTTATAAATTATATGTTGACGTTTGTAACTCCATCACATTTAGGTGTCTGAATTGATATGAATGTAATTTCATGTATCGATAGACCATAGATAGGATATTTATTATCTTATTCACATTAAAAAACAGCGGGATGTATGTACGAAAAAATATACGAAAAATTTATGTACTTATATTATCCCTCATAATAAAAGCGTCAAGTGCTATAAATCTATTTTTTTTTCTCTTCAAAAAATCCAAACATTTTTCTTATAGTTTTTCAGTTAAATTACAATCATAATAGTAAACTACCGTATTTGTTTTTAGTATTATATTTCAAATTAAGAGTAAAACTCTAAAAAGCGAGGGACGAAAGATTTAAATATTTTTTTTAGCATAATACATTTAACTTATAAATCGTTTATGGGATATACCTATATTATTTTTTATGACTTTTCATATTTCGTATTTGTCTTGCTCTTTTTTTTTTAGTAATTTATATATTTTCATATTAATCAATTTGTAAAAAAGTAATTATTTCAAAAATCTTCGAACATTTGCCTTGCCCTAGTGCCAAATTTACAAAAAAAAAAAAAAAACAAGTGCGTGGGCGTACGAGATGTGCCGTGGCGGGAAAACGTGCATGCTTGATGTTTATAAAGTCTACATTTTATTTTTAGTTTTGCTCGGTTTTATCTTACGGGCCATTAAGCACACCTACAGCGCGCCGCACTGCCTGTCAGCTGGCAGCCGTTCAAATTGTACAAAATTGGATTTCTCATACAATTGAACAGTCTCTAGGACTCGAATTACACTAAGCATAATTATTCCTTTGTCTATGGTTTAAAGATTGAATCAAAATCACTTATTATTTGCAACATAAAAAATGAAATGTATTTTGAATATTTTTTATTTTATTCTAAAGTTGAGATTAATTTTCATATTATATTTTCCTGTTAGGTATTAATAAATATTTTTTTTATAACGACATTTACATCTGTTACTAATTATTATATATTACTTAATTTATATTTGCTTTATTTTAATAAATAATTCCAAATAGAAATTTATATATGATATTTATTGGCAGTAGTTTTATTTTTTTTTATTGTATAAACAATTATATTTTTTTTTATAATTTATCATTTGTGACTTCTTGTTGTTATTATTTAAAAAAAAAGTTGTAAGTATATTTTTTTTAATGTTAGAATTATTTTTTAGCAATCTATGTTCCACCACACCCACATTCGTATTCCATTCTGCCCTAAACTTGAATGTATGGCTCGGATATTTCTCCGCGGAGATTCGCGGATGTTAGGAAACCTCGAACTACACTATAATTATTATTAATTATCATTAATTATTATTATTATATTTATTTTTTAAACAAGCAGGTAACTCGTATTTCATATTTAATTACATTGTACCGATTAGTCTCTTTTTTTTTTAATAATATCTAGTTCATTGCATTTTAAGAATTTAAAAAATTAAAACATATATTCACTAATACCAAATAAATCAAATCCGTATAGAGTATGATATAATTAATACACTTTAAACATTATTAAAAAATATTTCTGAAACTGCTGTTTTGTTGAAAATGTATTTTTAGATCGTTTAGCAAACACTTGTCTAGTAAATTAGAATTTTAGGCCTTTTATGGTCGTGGAAAAAAACATTAAGCCGCGATTTTTATTTCACACAATGTTTTTTGTATATTTTAATAAATTTTTACTGGTAGCTAAATGTGTAAAACGTGAGTTATTGCCAATAAGAGTGTTGGTAATGTCTGTATAGTGAATTTAAGGCCTTAAACGACGTAGAATCCTTAGTTTTCCGGCAGTTTGACGGCCGTAGCACCCGGCGCATAAGGTTACACATTCCGCGCTCTGTAACGTAATACGCGCTATACAAGGCGCTTCTAGTTGGGCGGCGCGCGCGCCATCCGCTTTCTGCGTTATTTTTAGATCACCCCTTCACAGCAACCGCATCATCTTCGAGGGTTCCGCGGTAAAACACAAGGTCCAGCTCGTTCCACTGGTAGCACTAGCACACACGGCACGGCACTTACGTCGCACGGGTGGAAGACGGTCACTCAGTCACTCGCACTGGTTCTTCGACCGGCAGCACAGCGACGTTGGAATGTGGAGTCCGCGGCGACCGGGGCGGCTCTGACCGGCGGCGGGTGCGGCGCAGGCCACGCCGCCTCCCCCCTCGCGACCCTCGCGCCGCCCCCTCCGTTTAAAAATAGAGTCGGTCATTTTTGAGCCGATTACGAGCCAGCTCCGGTTTCTAAAGGGAATCCGATGGTGCTCTCCCTAATGCCGTCACCTGCAAGTGCAACGGCCACTCGCAACAACTGCTGCCGCCCGTTACATGCACAATCTTTTCATGTTTAAAGTATAAACTGCTGATGAAGAGAGACACTCGAATAGGAAGCGCTCTACAGCAAGAAATTCTAAGATTTATATTTTAACATCTATTTGTTATGATATTCTCATATATACCGGTTGCCAAATAGCTTTTTTTTTTTCTGCAACTTAAAATGGCAAACAAGCTGACGGCCCACCAGATGAAGTGATAAAGGTAACTGTCGCCTATATTATATTATACAGATGGAGACTTTGTACAAAAGTCGTTTGCTTGCGCACCTCTGTCCCACTCGTGTTTCAACCGTGAAGTAGTTGTGTACATAGGGTATAGAGGAATATTACCTGAGTCCTCAGGAATGGCAACGCATGGGAGGTATCGTGGGCGAAACAGTATACTCTGTTATGTCCATGGTACTGCTCATGTCTATAGGCGACGGTTACCACTTTTCGTCAGGTGGACCGTCAGCTTATTTGCCATTCTAAGTTGTATAAAAAAAAACTTGAACATTTTTTTCATGCTGTATTCTGATTGACAGAACAGTAGTGAAATTACTGAGAGGTGTGATTCAAAATCTTAATATCGCTAGAGTCGGTACGGTATTTATAAGAGGGGAACTGTACAAAAACTGTACCCATTAGTATACTCTGTTATATCCATGATATTGCTCATGTCTATAGGCGACGGTTACCACTTTCCATCAGGTGGGCCGTCAGCTTGTTTGCCATTCTAAGTCGTATATAAAAAAAAATCCTTTTTGTGTTTTTTTTTTAATGAAAAATTATTAAATGGTTACTCCGCCTGCGCTATCAGAATAGACTGGCGGGGCACCAGTGAGGGATGATAGATGAGCATAAAGCAGGTCTGTTAGCCCATTGTGACGAACGCAACAAGTATTAGTCACAATGACTTTCAGGGGTAACCACGTGGAGGTCGACCTGACAGGGCTTGTTAGCAATGGGGCCATTAGTCTCTATTACTGACAATCCCTTTCCCCCTCCTTTTTGTGTTTCTACCACCAAGCATCTACGCTTGCATGGTTTTTTTTATAGCTGATAATGAAATAGTAACCCCACCCGCGCTATCGGTATACACCAGCAGGGTACCAGTGAAGGATGATAGGTGAGGATAAAACAGGTCAGTTAGGCCATCGTGACGAATTCAACGAGAATTATTCACGATGGTTCCTGGGGGAACCACGCGGAGGTTGACCTGATAGGGTATATTGCTAGCAATTGGGCTGTCTTACTCCATTGCTAACAATCCCTTCCCCCCCCCCTCCCCCCGCTTGCATGGTTGTGTTGGCAGTAAAAATACAAGATACGAAGGTATAGCACTTTGGTCGTCTAGGATAGCGACGCATGAGGTACTGTCACAGGTTACAGTTTTTAGTATAAAGCCAGAGGCGTATCAAGATTGTTTTAGCGCCCATCTCAGGATACTAGCTAAGCATAGCTATGATGAAAGGCATGTTTAAGATACATTACTATTTTAGTAGTTCAAGCCCCCTAGAAAGTAACAAGTATTAAACTAGTAGTATTAAATATTAAAGTACTAAATTAGACGTCACAGTATATAATTGATTATATTTATAGGCGCTGGTTTTTGTAATGGATGAGAACGGAATAATGGTAATCCCGCCTGTGTTAGCAATGTACGCTGGCAGGCGACCAGTGAGAGGTGATAGGTGAGGATGAAAGTAGGTCAGTTAGTCCATAGCGGTGAACTCAGGAATTAACCAGGATAGTTTCCAGGAGGAAACTTCGTGGTGATTGACTTGACTTGATATACCTTATATTTCTTTTTTTTTAAAAACAAAAATTGATGATAATGTAATGCTAACCCCGTCTGCGCTAACAATATATGCTGGCGGGGCACCAGTGAGAATGAAAAGGGAGATTAGTTAACCAATCGTAATGAATGCACCTTGAATTCAGCGCAATGGTTTCTAGGAGGGACTATGTGGAGGTTGACTTGATAGATTATATTAGCAATGGGACTGGTAGTCTGCATTACTAATAATCCCTTCTCCCCTTGTATATTGCTAGCAATGAGGCTGTTAAATCCCATTACTAAAAATCCCCTTCCCTCGTATAGGCGACGGTTAGTTATCTATGAGATCATTAGGTGAATAATTTTGTTAGTCAAGTTTAAAAGTAAAATAATTAGTCCGTATAGAAATGTCAAATATGAACTTGATAGATATAAAAGACTTTAAGACAATTTAAATTATGTATGAAAGAAATGATATGCGAATTATGCAGCTCAATGGAAATAAGTGAGTAGACTTTCATAGATGAACTGTGGATAGGATGAAAATTTAAGTTTAAATTAATTACAACTACTGGCTGTATGGAAAAGATTATTCGACTTTCTGTATGAAAAAAAATTTTTTTTGTACATTAGTGACATTGACATTTATGACATTAGCGTACGTCTTGTAATGTCAAAACAAAGTTGTGTGTTGTGTTGTGTTGTCAACCTGTTAAACAAAGTTCAAAATTATTTTCAAAACTTTTTCTACATTTTTTGTAAATTTATATTAATCGCAAATGAAATAAAATCATAATGTTGTGTTTTGTATAAATATTTATATAAATATAAATTAAACATAGAAATGAATTCGACAAATAAAATACCCCAGGGAAATACTTCAACGCCAAAACGACGACGGCTCGGCACCGGTCATATTTTACGACGGAATAACAAGAAAAATACAGGGAATGGTAGTCCGGTGCATCCTCAGATAACTGCTGCAATAGATAGTTCCCCAGGAAGGTGTGAATCACCGCCGTTGCCGTGCAATCAAGTGGAATATTTGTGCGAGTCTTCTCACAATAACTCTAGTGTTCCATGCTCTCCTGGTCCTGGTGGTCCTGGTATACAGAGTGCTGCAGTTAAAGATGTACATAACTGGGAATCATTAACAGTCTCTCTTCTTGATGATAAAGAATTTAATAAAAATAACGAATCAATTAATGAAATCAATTTATCAGGGGATTTGTTTACATCTAAATTAGATCAAGAATCTACTCAGAACAATTGTGTAGATCGTGTCCAGGATCAACAGAATCATGTAGATGATTGCATATTAACATCAAGATGTGAGAACAATTTTAGGGAAGAGATTGAAAAGAGTTTCAATATTGTAAATCAGTCTATATGTGAAACTGATAGAGTTGATAAGAGTTTCTTGTTTGAAACTAAAGATTCCTTTTTACTGGATATTAGAGAAAGTGGTGTGATACCTGATAATAAAGTAAACTGTTTCAATGAATTCCCTAAACTGAAACCTGAACACAATCACAATAATGTTAATAATAGTTTTTATGGATTGCCAATCATCACAAAGAGTTTATTTAAAACTTTTAGGAATATTGAGAAATTTTATGGTATGTATTATTTTAAGTTTCTTTTTTATTCGACATAAAATGGCAAAAAGCCTATGGTCCACTTGATGGAAAGTGGCAAATGTCTACTGTACATATTTTTTTTTATGGGTGAAAATGGTATGGTAACCCCGCCTGCGCTAACGGAATATGCTGGCGGAGCACCAGTGAAGGGTGATAGATGAGAATGAAAACAGGCCAGTTAGCCCATCATGATAATTTCATCAGGAATTAACCGTGATAGTTTCCAGGGGAACTGCGAGGAGGTCGACCTGGTTGGGTGTATTCCTAGCAATGGGATTCTCAGTCTCCTTTATTAACAATCCCTTTCCCCCTTACTGTACATATTATTATTTTTTTATCAATATTCTTTTTTTATAAAATTGTGTATAAAAAGACTAATGAACTAATTTTTAAAGTTCATAAGGTACTAAAACAACTGTTTTGATACATGATGACTAAGTAACTACTTGGTCATCACAAAATATGATGTGATTTTATAATATTGCTAGCTATATGATACTGTTCTGCCTACATAAATCAGGATAAAATTACCGATGTATCAAATTTAATTTAAAAATAGTTTAACCATGTCAGTGTGCTTGAGTAATATATATTTATATATACTTCTACATTTATAATATTACAAAATAAGTTTTGATTTCAATAGTCAGTATTTTAAGTTGTAATTGTGTACAAACACATTAAAGTATATAATCTCTGTGTACATACATTAAATTGAGTTGTACATTTTTTATTTATTTAAATTTTAATGCACAGTAATATTCTATGTGCATTTGGTGGACTTAACACTAGATGGTGTTCTCTACCAGTCAGCCATTGAGCAAACCGAGAAATACATAGACGGTGCATTATTTAATACAGGAAAAATAAAGCAATAATTGTTTTATTTTTCCTGTATTAAATAATGCACCGTCAATTGCACAGTTAATTTAATGTGTTTACTGAAACAAATATTTTTTTATTTATTAATTTATTGATTGAGCTCAAAATTTCATTATATATAACATTACATTATTGTTTATTTGTTAATTAACATGCTGTGTTTCCCTTAAAATGATTGTACATTATGTATAAATAAATAGTAATCTTAATATTAAATGGTATCATTGTAACAATTGTTAGGAGATGAAATAATGATAAAATAAAATAAAATTTGTACATTATACATGTAGATTGGCAAGAGGAATGTCTAAACATGGATGCAATCAAAGAGAGACGTAACCTGATCTATGCCTTGCCCACCAGCGGTGGCAAGACATTAGTGGCAGAGGTGCTGATGCTCCGCGAAGTGCTCAATAGGAAGCGCAATGCACTGTTCATATTGCCATTTGTAGCTATTGTTCAAGAAAAAGTAAGTATATCTAAATAATTACTTTATCACTATATAGTTATGTCACATATTTTTATAAGAAATAAATTCACAGAGAATGAAATGTATCCTACAAATGTGTACTAAATTGAATATACTTTTTTATACAACTTACAATGCCAAACAAGCTGACAGCCCACCTGAAGGAAAGTGGTAAGCGTCGCCTAAACATGAGCCATACCATGGACATAACAGAGTATACTGTTTCGCCCATGATACCCCCCATGTGTTGCCAATTCTGAGGACTCAGGTGTTATTCCTCTGTACCCTGTAAATTCATGCCATATCCCACCCTTCAAACCGAAACACAGCCATGCAAACACAACTGCTTCACGGTTGAAACACGAATGGGACAGAGTTACCCAAGCAATAGACTTTTGTACAAAGTCTCCATCTGGTAAACATTTATATACTTACATTATTGTATTTGAAATTGAAACATCAAACAAGTATTAATTACTCTATTTTTATATAACATTTTCATAAGTACGTTGTTATGTTATTATTATACATATAAAACGGAGTAGGCATATATAAATTCAGATATTTATGAAGGATTAAGTGAATGATTACGAATGAAAATTAAATATATTAGCTTCTTTTCCATATTAAAAAAATAGATTTATTTTTAATTTTCACTGAAGTAATTCTTGTTTTTACATGGATTTAAATATTTTTTAATATTTCACAGATCTGGTCGCTTTCTCCGTTTGCTGTGAACTTAGATTTCTTAGTGGAAGAGTATGCGGGTGGCAAAGGTCATTTGCCACCTAAAAAACGACGGAAAAGAAATAGTATCTATGTAGCAACTATTGAGAAAGGTCTAGCTTTGATTAGAAGCCTCATTGAGCTGGACCGACTGCAGGAGATCGGTCTTATTGTAGTGAGTTTTATAAATTATTAGATAACTAAGTTTGGTGAACCCTAATGTAAAACTATCATTTTGCAGCCATATGAAATATATAAGAAAAAATATTTTTTTTTGACCACAGGTGCCTTAGGTATTTACATTTAAAATTTTTATTTACTAATTTTTATATACTGAAATCGATAATTCTGTAATATCTGAATTTTATTCATTTTTGTTTAAAACTTGCTCATTTTCATATTCATTATACTTTTTTCTTAAATGTGTGAATACTTCTAAATTCAAAATATTTCTAAAGTCGAAAATACATACTTTCGGCCATAGATTCCCTGACTGTTATACTTTCTATTAATTAAAATATTAGTCATTCTTATCACAAGTTTGTATATATAACACAAATTATACATCTTGAAAGTTTCAAATAAGAACTTGATTATTAGACTTAATTAACTTCAAAATAAATTTCGTTTTATGACGACCACTGGGAAATCGATTTCGTCTCTAAGGGTTCCATATTGACTACTCTGGGAATCTCTGGTTTACAGTATTTTAAAACTTTCCTATAGCTACAAAGCTTACAGAGTTAATATACCTGTCTACCTTAACATCCATCCTATATAAATAATATATTTTTATATTGTATAATATAATAATAAATTTCATTCTTGCTAGGTGGATGAGCTGCACCTTATCGGAGAACCAGGTCGTGGTGGTACTTTGGAGATTCTGTTATCCACTGTACTTTTTGCTAACCGTAAGTAGATTGATAGATAGATAGATACTCTTTATTGTTTCCTCCAAAAGATTACAATAGTAAACTTATTATAAATATAAATAATTACAAGGAGAAAAGAATGGGCGACCTTATCGCTAAGAGTGATCTCTTCCAGGCAACCTTTGGATGGAGAGGAGTAATTATAAACAAGTAGTTTTTATTATAATTTATTTTTCATACATCAATGTCCTTTAATCAGTATAATTTACGATTGTTGTTATGTAGCGGACATACAAATAGTCGGTATGAGCGCGACCATCGGCAACCTGCCGGAGATGGCCAAGTTCCTGCGCGCGGATGTGTTTGAGCGCCAGTTCCGGCCCGTGGAGCTCGCCGAGTACGTGAAGCTGGGCGACACGCTGTACAGGCTGCAGTGGCGCGGCGGTCCGGATGGCGGCTGCGACCTCGTGCCCGAAAGGGTGTTGGCCTACGACGTCAGTACATACTAGTTCGCAATTAAAAAAAATATTAATAAATACTTTAATTTTTTAAAGATTAAAAATTTATTAATTGGATGTTTTTTTTATGTCATTGAGGTGGCAAACAAGCATACGGCCCACCTGATGGTAAGCGGTTACCTAAGCCTATGAACCTCTACAATACCAGACGCAATTACGAGAGTGCGTTGCCGACCTTGAAGAAATCTCTTTACCCCTTTTTCGAAGGACCCCATGCTGTAGTCTCTTGAAAAAAACCTTGATCCCTGTCGAGGTTTTGAGGAATGAGCTCCCTAATTCATTCCATAACTTGAGCGTTTGTAGCAGGAAATATCTCGCGACCTTCAAGGTTCAAGTCGCCAAAAATATTTTCTTACTCAGTAAAATAATATATATATATATATATATATATATATATATATTGCAGTGTAACTTATCCGGGAATAAATTTTTAAAACTGTTCAAAATTAATAGCGTCAATAGATTTTTACCAGAGGGAGACTTTGTACAAAAGTCGATTGCAGAGGTACCCCTGTCCTATTCATGTTTCTACCATGAAGCAGTTGTGTTTGCATAGCTGTGTTTCGGTTTGAAGGGTGGGATATGGCGTGAATTTACTGGGTACAGAGGAATAACACCTGAGTCCTCAGGAATGGCAACGCATGGGGAGTATCGCATGGGCGAAACAGTATACTCTGTTATGTTCATGGTACTGCTCATGTCTCTAGGCGACGGTTACTATTTTCCATCAGGTGGGTTGTCAGCTTGTTTGCCAATCTAAGTTGTATAAAAAAAATTTTGAAATATTTTACTGTAATCAATGGATGAACAGAGAAATGGAGTGAGTTTTATCATGATGATGTCATGTTTTTGTCGTTAAAATGAACGCAGTTATAGAAAAAATGTGGACCTGGTATTTTTGTCATTATGTTGTCGTCGTATGTAGTATTCACCGGCGGCAACGAGCCTGGATCCGGACTGGCTTGGCGGGCTGGTCTCCGAAGTGGTACCCCACTCCTCGTGCCTCGTGTTTTGCCCCACCAAGCGCAATTGCGAGAACGTTGCTGCTTTACTTTGCAAGTTGCAGAGGAAGTAAGTTTTTTTTTTCATTCTTAATAGTATTTAAATTTTTCAAAGGAATTTAGCGTGAAGATAGAATATTTGTGATTAGAATAAGAATATCTTTATTTCCTTGAACAAAGATATTCTTTTGTTCATGATTATGTTTGTTAATTTATTTAATTTAATAGTACATTACTGCAGCGGCCAGCAACTGAGGCATTGCTGGACGAACGTGCAAATGTGGGCCGAGGCGTAGCCGAGGCACACATACGTGAGTCCATCAATGCCTAGTTGTGGCCAAAGCTTGTATAGTACTTATCTCAAACAATGCGCGGAAATCAAAAACACAATTTTACTTTTCATGTTCAATGACGAATAACGAACAATAATAATTTTTCACGCGCCATAATGTTCCTTTGGTTTTTTTTCAATAAATAGCTTTCTATTTGCAAACCAGTTCGAAATTTAAATAAAACCTTTTATTAGTTACCTCCTTGGTAATCATGTTTCGAAATAAAAGGTCATTCCATTTTTAAATTACAGGACAGATATGAGTTTACATAGTAATTTATCTGGCCGCAAAACCCGACAGATATGGGTTTTCATACAACTTTATTTTCTTTTGCCGCTGCCCGCATGTATCTGGTCAGTACGGCAATTTTGATTTATCTCGAAGAAGATAGTCAAAATAATGCTCACATTTCCAAGCATGTTTGAGAAAATAAAATTATTGACAAAAAAAAATATATATACAAAAGGCAGACTTAATTCTATATGGGATCTATGCTGTACAGTCGTCGGCATTTTATTTATTCATTTTAAATGGTGAATATATGTACTCGGAGTGTCTTTGTGCTGAAAGCCTAGCTCTAATTGTGGGATGACTTTCTTGCTTCAAGTACGCCTGTGGTACTGACACATATCAATAAATCAGCTTATATATTTAGTGTCTCCTTTTGGTGTATTCACTGTACTGGTCCTTCGAGCCGGACGTGAACTGAGCACAAGTGTGCCCGCAGGGAGATGTTGTCGCACCGCGCGGCGGAGCGGGCGGCGCTGGCGCGCGCGCTGGCGGGCGAGGGCAGCGAGCACACGCTGCGCGCCGCCGTGCGCGCCGGGCTCGCCTGGCACCACGCCGGGCTCGCCGCCGACGAGCGCGCGCTGCTCGAGCAGGCCTTCAGGTGCCGGCCCGCGAGCCTTGTTCTCTGTCGCTGTAGACGCTGGCGGGCGAGGGCAGCGAGCACACGCTGCGCGCCGCCGTGCGCGCCGGGCTCGCCTGGCACCACGCCGGGCTCGCCGCCGACGAGCGCGCGCTGCTCGAGCAGGCCTTCAGGTGCCGGCCCGCGAGCCTTGTTCTCTGTCGCTGTAGCAACGCTGGCGGGCGAGGGCAGCGAGCACACGCTGCGCGCCGCCGTGCGCGCCGGGCTCGCCTGGCACCACGCCGGGCTCGCCGCCGACGAGCGCGCGCTGCTCGAGCAGGCCTTCAGGTGCCGGCCCGCGAGCCTTGTTCTCTGTCGCTGTAGCAACGCTGGCGGGCGAGGGCAGCGAGCACACGCGCGCGCCGCCGTGCGCGCCGGGCTCGCCTGTTCTCTGTCGCTATAGCAACTCTGGCGGGCGAGGGCATCCTGCGCGCCGGGCTCGCCTGGCACCACGACGGCGCGCGCTGCTCGACGTAAAATACTCTGTAAACGCTGGCGGGCGAAAGTACACGTTCGCGCCGCCGTGCGCGCCTGGCTGTTGGCACCACGAATGATTAAAATAACTAGCAACAGCATATTCGAATAGTTATGCGCGCCGCCGTGCGCGCCGGGCTCGCCTGATATTGCCGCCGACGAGCGCGCGCTGCTCGAGCAGGTTCAGTTTGTTCTCTGTTATTTTTGGCGGGCGAGGGCAGCGAGCACACGCTGCGCGCCGCCGTGCGCGCCGGGCTTGGAAGGTTTTCAGGTGTTACTGTATTTTGAGCAGCAGGCAGAAGTAAAAAGAGAAGCTGCGCGCCGCCGTTTATGAGTTTAGAAAAATTGCGCGCCGCCGTGCGCGCCGGGCTCGCCTGGCACCACGCCGGGCTCGCCGCCGACGAGCGCGCGCTCATGAATAATACAAGGCGGCCGCGTGCGCGCCGGGCTCGCCTGGCACCACGCCGGGCTCGCCGCCGACGAGCGCGCGCTGGGCGGCCCGCGAGTGTCGCTGTAGCAACGCTGGCGGTGCGAGCACACGCTGCGCGCCGCCGTGCGCGCCGCACGTCGACGCTGGCGGCGGACGAGCGCGCGCTGCTCGAGCAGGCCTTCAGGTGCCGCGCGCCGTTCTCTGTCGCTGCGCGCGCGAGGGCAGCGTGCGCGCCGCGCGCCGGGCTCGCCTGGCACCACGCCGGGCTCGCCGCCGACGAGCGCGCGCTGCCTACCGCCAGATGCCGGCCCGCGAGCCTTGTTCTCTGTCGCTGTAGCAACGCTGGCGGGCGAGGGCAGCGAGCACACGCGCGCCTTGTTCTCTGTCGCTGTAGCAACTCGTAGGATCCTGGGAGGCTGACGTAAAATACTAAAAAGTACACGTTCTAGTTTAGCCTTTCTGGCTGTTGCACTGAATGATTAAAATAACTAGCAACAGCATATTCGAATAGTTACGGTGATGGTGATATCGACTCGGGGTCAGTTTGTTACTCTTATTTTTTGTTGGAAGGTTGTGTGGCAGGCGACAAAATTATGACTATCATGAATAATACAAGGGGGCGGGGTGACACGGTGCACAGCGGGCGCGAGTGGCACGTCGACGCTGGCGGCGGCGTGCTGGCGCGCGCCGTTCGTCGGCGCGCGCCGCGCGCCGCCTACCGCCAGCTGGGCGCGCCGGCGCCACGGCGCGGCGGGCGATCGGCGGACTGCGCGGCGGGCGCGGCGGGCGCGGCGGGCGCGGCGGGCGCGGCGGGCGCGGCGGGCGCGCGCGCGCTGCTGCTGGGCGGCGCCGCGCTGCGTGCTGCAGCCACGCGCGGCTGCCTGCTGAGCCTGCTGCGCTGCACGCTGCTCGCCCAGCACGCAGGTACGGCCATCGCCCATCATACGCGGCGGCCCAGTGTGCCGTACAGGGAGGAAAGGGATTGTTAGCAGTAGAGTTTGACAGCCCCATTGCTAGCAGTATGCCCTATTAGGTCGACCTCTAAGTGGTTTCCCTTGAAAACCATCGTGAACATTTTTTGTTGAATACGTCACGATGGGCTAATTGATCTGCTTCATCCTCACCTATCATCCTTCACTGGTGCCTCACCGGTGTATACTGATAGCGCGGATGGGGTTACCTTTCCATTATCACCCATAAAAAAAGTGTGCCTTACGACAAAGTTAAAAAAAACTTTAGTCTTGACAAAACTTCTCTTGGATCGTCATGAAAGTAAATCAAAATCCCTTTCAATTCAAAAGAAAAATAAAATTAATTCAGAGTTAGCGAATATCTCGTTTAATTATTTTACGTTCAATTAACGATCTTAAAGGAGCAAGCCATAATGTAATCGAAAATCATGACTTTAGTACAGATGTGGATTTGGAGGCGTTATGCGACGAGTCCCTGTCTGAACTGGTGAAGAGTGGCGCATTGGAACAGCGCGGGGACACTTTCGTCGTCAGCTCGCTCGGAGACGCTGCCATCAAAGGTAACCATCCAATCTACCTTTGGCAAATATATAATTCTTTAGTTTGCTAAAAATATTTATTTTAGAAATTAGAACACATTCATTGTTTAAATTATATTCATATATATACAAATTTCCTTCATTACTAGAACAACTACTTACATATACATACATTAATACTTCTGTGTACTCCTAATAATACTCTATTTAATAATTAATTTCTCACTTAAAAAGATGATTTCCAAATTTTTATAAGTGTCAGCAACATGTTAATTTAATAATTTATCTATTAAAAATATCCGGCTCAAAGGACCATAAAAGTAAAGGTTCCTATAAAAATGTAATGAAACTAAAAATTTACTCAACCATATGACAATTTACTACATTAGGTAGCAAATTGTCATATGATGGAGTAATATTACTAAAAATAATGTTTTAATATGTAATCGAATCTCAATTGTTTGCATATTTCTTTCAACTTTCTTCTTATCTTTCTTTATTTTCAACTTTTTAATCGATCGTTACTAATTTCAAAATAATAGATATTATGTTATTATGCTGATGTAATTTAATTCTTATTCGTAGGTGGTTTAAGTTTAGAATCAGCGAAACAGTTACTGGAAGATCTGGATACTGCGTCTAAAAGCGTCGTCCTAATGGGCAGTCTACACCTGCTGTACTTAGTGACGCCGCATGACCACGCGGGGATCAAGCCCGACTATAGACACTATTATTCATTGGTAACATCCAATATTTTATTTATATCATATATTTATTTGTTTTTTTTTTATACAACTTAGAATGGCAAACAAGCTGACGGCCCACCTGATGGAAAGTGGTAACTGTCGCCTATATACATGAGTAGTACCATGGACATAACAGAGTATACTGTTTCGCCCATGATACCCCCCGTGCGTTGCTATTCCTGAGGACTCGGGTGTTATTCCTCTGTACCCAGTAAATTCACGCCATATTCATCCTTCTAACTAAAACACAGCCATGCAAACACAACTGCTTCACGGTAGAAACACGAATGGGACAGAGGTACCCAAGCAATCGACTTTTGTACAAAGTCTTCCTCTGGTAAACAATGTTTGAAATAATGATGGTAAAAAATATATGATACTTATGATAAACGGGGAAATATTTTAGTCCTTCTTCGGTAAGTCGACAACCACGCAGTCTGGTTTCTAAATGTTTGGCATTATCAATTGTCAAATCATTGGAGAGGTCAATTCTGTACATGAAATATATTTCCAAAATAACTATCAAGCGGTGATTTGTGATCGGTACTAATGCCAAAAATGCAATCAGTAAAATTTTTGTCTGTCTGTATGTTCGTTTTAGAAACAAAAACTGCTCAACGGATTTTAACGAAACTTGGTACAATTATTCTTCATACTCCTGGGCAGGTTATAGTATACTTTTCATCACGCTACGATCAATAGGAGCAGAGCAGTGAAGGGGAATGTTAAAAATGTCCACGCGTGCGACGCCGGGACGGGCCGCTAGTAATTAATAAAATCGATTTTTATTCGAAAAATCTTTCTTGTTTGTTGCCTATTCTCATCAACTGAAATTTCATTCTGAATTTGGCGAAGGTATAAACTCCGAAACGAAAAAAAAAAAACTGATTTTTATAATTAATTTTTGATTGATAAAAAAAGTTATGTTTATGAAGAAATATTATTTGCTCAGGTTTTTTAGTTGAAATGATCACATATCAATTGGGCTAGTTAACAACTTACTTTTTTTTCGGTAATAATTTAAAAAAAAATTTTCGTCTACATATTTTACCAGACGGACGGAGATTTTGTACAAAAGTCGTCTGCATTACTGCTTATTTTAGTCGTTCTAATTTTAATTGGAGATCTAAATGAGCAATGTATATAAAACAATTGAATTGATTGTAATCTACGAATATTGTTTTTTTGGTCGTCCAAAGTTGCACTGCGATTTCAGACCTAGATTAGAGTTATGGGTGCAGTGCTTCTGACTCGACTAGCGAAAGTGTTGGGTATCGAACTGAAATGAACGCGATTCGAATGATGACCGGCAAGCCGATTACAGTAAGTGAATCGATTTAAAACATTTGCATTTTGTATTTATCCTTTTGAATAATCCTGAATAAGGATCTTGAGGAAGTACTCGATTTATTTAATTAATTTTATCGTTAAACGTTGTGCTGTTATACAAATATTTTTAATTTGTTATTTCAAGTTTGTCAAATGCAAAGTTTCAGTGAAGAGATACGCATATTAATAGAAATAAAGAGTACAGTCAGTTAAAGGCCCACTATTATTATCTGTTTATTTACAATCTTGAATAACGTGTTGGAACGAAACAAACCTATATATATATATATATATATGTATATATATGTATAGATGTTTGTATGTATACAATGGACATATAACAGTGGGATATTTAACACCTTTTTTATTTATTTATTTAATTTATTTATTTACAAGAAACATGGTAAGTGTACGTATGTTAACAATAAGTCCTCATATTTATTAGAGATGAGATTTATGTTTGTAAGAGATGCTTTATACCAAAATCTAAAGTTTTCTAGACTACTTATAGTTTTGAAAAGTTTGCTTTCAGAAATTACGAGTATGTAAAGCGAAAGATATTAAGAGAATGATAATATTTGTAGAATGTATAATGTAAACGTTTATTAATACAGTAATAATAGTAATATAATAGTAAAGAAGGAGAACAATAGAAAATATAAAAAAGGTATAATATTAAGACGATTTGTGTGCCATGGCGTTCCAACAACAAAATTCCTATTTCTATCTTCGGTGGCATGATACAGAAGGTGACACAAACTGCGCGCGCAACCCGTAGTCTTCATCGAGCGCCTGCGCGTCCTGCGCGCGCATAGTTTTAATAAAAAGACGACTTACCTCCTTGTCGTGCGCGACCGACATCCGTAAAGATAACATCACATATATATATAAATATTTACGCTTGTCTGCGTGTTTTTACAAAATAAATAAAATATATAAATTGTTAGTTTATTTTTGTCATAAAGCATGGTGGGCGGTTTGGATGCAAAATTACAATGTATATGTATAAAATTGCGCCTAAGGTCGTCGTGTGGTCGCTATAATTTGATTTGTTACGTAGGCAAATAGTATTATTAGGCCACCCCTTTCCCGTGGGTGTACAACGATCCAACATCACTGGGTTTTATTTCGACACCAGAGGACGCTCGTCCATAGTTCAGTGCTGGATTGTGTGTACAATGTTAATTTAATAATTTATCTATTAAAAATATCCGGCTCAAAGCCATAAAAGTAAAGCCTATAAAAATGTAATGAACAACTCAACCATATGACAAACTACATTAGGTAACAAATTGTCATATGATGGAGTAATATTACTAAAAATAATGTTTTAATATCTAATCGAATCTCAAAAATTTGCATATTTCTTTCAACTTTCTTCTTATCTTTCTTTATTTTCAACTTTTTAATCGATCGTTACTAATTTCAAAATAATAGATATTATGTTATTATGCTGATGTAATTTAATTCTTATTCGTAGGTTTTATTTAGAATCAGGAAACAGTTACTGGAAGATCTGGATACCGCGTCTAAAAGCGTCGTCCTAATGGGCAGTCTACACCTGCTGTACTTAGTGACGCCGCATGACCACGCGGGGATCAAGCCCGACTATAGACACTATTATTCATATATACAATATTTTATTTATATCATATATTTATTTGTTTTTTTTTTATACAAATTAGAATGGCAAACAATCTGACGGCCCACCTGATGGAAAGTGGTAACTGTCGCCTATATACATTAGTCCATGGACATAACAGATATACTGTTTCGCCCATGATACCCCCGTGCGTTGCTATTCCTGAGGACTCGGGTGTTATTCCTTTATAGGCCATATCCACAGCCATGCAAACACAGCTACTTTACGGTTGAAATACGAATGGGACAGAGGTACCCAAGCAAACGACTTTTGTACAAAGTTTCCCTCTGGTAAAATATCTCTCTGGTGTGTTCTTGTGCTGTGTAGTAATCTGTATTCAATGATAATCTATACTTATAATAAATCTGTAGAGAGGTCAATTCTGTACATGAAATATATTTCCAAAATTACTATCAGCGGGTGATTAGTGATCGATACTGATGGCAAAAATGCAATCAGTAAAATTTTTGTCTGTCTGTCTGTATGTTCGTTATAGAAACAAAAACTACTCGACGGATTTTAACGAAACTTGATACAATTATTCTTCATACACAGGTTATTATACTTTTCATCACGCTACGATCAATAGGAGCAGAGCAGTGAAGGGAATGTTAAAAATGTCCACGCGTGCGACGCCGGGACGGGCCGCTAGTAATTAATAAAATCGATTTTTATTTGAAAAATCTTTCTTGTTTGTTGCCTATTCTCATCAACTGAAATTTCATTCTGAATTTGGCGATAGAATCCGAAACGAAAAAAAAAATTCTTATAATTAATTTTATTCGATAAAAAAAAAGTTATGTTTCTATTATTTGCTCAGGGTTTTTTTAGTTGAAATGATCTTATCAATTGGGCTAGAGTTATATAAAACAATTGAATTGATTGTAACTACGAATATTGTTTTTTTGTCGTTCAGTACTGCGATCTGGACGAGGAGGGTGTGCAGACAGCGAAAGTGTTGGGCATAACTTGAACAGCATTCGAAATTACAGACCGCAATTTAAAAATAAATTTTCGTCTACATATTTTACCAGACGGACGGAGATTTTGTACAAAAGTCGTCTGCATTACTGCTTATTTTAGTCGTTCTAATTTTAATTGGAGATCTAAATGAGCAATGTATATAAAACAACATTGAATAGAACTAAATACGAATAAGAGTTTTATATATGTCGTTCAGGCTGCGATCAATGGACAGTTAAAGGCTGATATGGTGTGTATATATACATATTTATTTATTTATTTATTTATAGGATTACCAACATAAGCAATACAATACACTGGTAATTAGATGTTCTTACATTTATAGGCAACCACAGCATGCCTTGTGTTTGACAAACATTAAAATGGAATTAAATTATTAAATGATTATACAAGTAAAAATATTAACGATTTAAATTATTTTAAATTATAAATAAATATAATGCAATGAATGCCATAAACACAGAGTGACCGTTGCAAGTTCGATTACAAGATGGCCATAGCTGACATCGAATTTAAAACATTTTATTTTTAAACTACAATCGTTTTCATTAGTGTAAGAAATAAAAACTAATAAAATACAAATAAAATAGAACTAAATTAAAACAATATCAGCTAAGATTCAAGACAACGATCCGTTGAAGTCGCGCGATGTCCGACAGACGAATGTGGCTTATGTCTTTTCTATTTTGCGCCGACATATATGTAATACGGTCGGTCGCGCACGCAGCTTGTGTGTTGTACCTATGCGCGCGCAGGACGCGCAGCTACAAATTCCATCGCTTTATGATGAGTATGTATAAATTATTATAGGATTCTTGAAACATTGAATTTACTAAATAATTATTTGCACATGTTTTCGGTATTTTTTTTTGCATTTTCAAATATATTTATTTTGAAAATTATATTTTAAAGTTTTACGTTGAGTTTCACTATATTTATATTGGTATAAATTTGTTTAACGATGAAGAAGCCTTTATCTTTAAACAAATTTATATATATAAATAAATTTATATATATATATATATATATATATATAATATAAATTTATATATATATATATATATATATATATATATATATATATATAAACAAATTTATATATATATATATAAATAAATTTATATCTGCGCTTAATATTATACAAAATTTGCTTTGTGATGTTAATTAATATTGCATGCATACATTATGAATTTTTTTTTTCACTAAAATAAATTATATATTATAATTATATTAAGTTTTTTTTTTTGGAATTAATTAATAAAATAGTAAAATTATATGTTACGTATATTATTATTTTCCTCAAATTAAATCTCGTAGCATCATAAATTTTTTTAGCCATTTTTTATATTTGTACAGAGTGTGTCGGAGAGAGTGCTGTGTCGTTTCTACCTCGCGCTGATGCTGCACGACCTGTGGAAACAGGTTCCGTTCCATGTTGTGGCTGAAAAGTGAGTACGCACCTTCCTTTGCGATCACAGGGTGTGAGTAGTGGTGATACGCGTGTGAACGACCTTGTCTGTCTCAAATAAACTTTGTGTAAGAATTGTTTGTTGAAGTAATATTGCAGAGTATGTTGGCATCACCTTCTCAGGAACGGCATGACAGGTGCTACAGGTATAATAGTGTATTTTTTGATGTTCTACTGTGATAATGGTATGGTAACCCCGTCTGCGCTATCGGTATACACTGGTGGGACATCAGTGAGAGATGATAGGTGAGGAAGAAAAGGCAGGTCAGTTAGCCTATTGTGATGAATACACTTGGAATTAAGCACGATGGTTTCTAGAGGGCACCACGTGAAGGTCGACCTGATTGGGTATATTGCTAGCAATGGGACCCTTAGTCTCCATTATTAACAATCCCTCCTCGCCCAGTTAGATAAATTGACTCATTGCAACGGGTTCATTAGGAACGAAAGGGGGACCAAGATGGTTTCCAGGGGAATGTATGAATATTGACCAGACATTGCTAGTAGTGGGGCTGCTAGATGTCACTACTACGTCTCCTTCAGATACATGGTGCCGCGCGGCAGCGTGCAGGCGGTGGTGAGCTCGGCGACAGCGCTGGCGTCGAGCGCGGCGCGCGTGTGCGCAGCGCTGCAGCGGCTGTGGGCGTGGGCCGCGCTGCTGGCGGAGCTGGCGCCGCGCCTGCAGCACTGCGCCGCGCCCGACCTGCAGCGGCTGCTGGAACTGCCCGCCGTCAAGAAGGTACTGTCCTGTAGCCGCCGACCACTCTGCGGCATCTCGGCCTACTCATACCATTCTTAGATTCCCATTCCTCATCATTAAGATATATCCCACCTGTCCTCGGATCCCTTCCTGGTATATTAATCCCCGTAGACTGGGGGGAAAGGGATTGTTAGTAATGGAGACTAAAAATCCCATTGCTAGCAATATACTCAACCAGGTCGACCTCCTCGCGGTTCCCCCTGGAAACCATCATGGTTAATTCCTGATGAATTCATCATGATGGACTAACTGGCCTGTTTTCATTCTCATCAATCACCCTTCACTGTTGACCCGCCAGCGTATCCCGTTAGCGCAGGCGGGGTTACCATACCATTTTCACCCATCAAAATAAAAAACCCCGCCGGCGCTATCGGCATACACCAACGAGGCACCAGTGGAAGGTGATAGGTGAGAATGAATGCAGGTCAGTTGGCCCATCATGATGAATTCGACAAGAATTAAACATGATGGTTTCCAGGGGCAACCGCGTGGAGGTCGACCTGAGAGGGTATATTGCTAGTAATGGGCCTATCGTGTAAAACATAAAGCCAAATTGAACTATTGTAAATTGGTAAAACTGATAAAACTTCTCACAAACGCAGGCTCGAGCTTTACAATTGATGCGGGCGGGTTATAAAAGAATAGAAGATATAGCGAAGGCGTCTGCCGACGATCTCGTCTCGTCCGTAGCGCATCTCTCCAGGACGGCGGCGAACCATCTCATCAGTGCTGCCAGGGTAATGTGTACTTACATTCACTGTTTTGAGCCTTGGTTTTTTTTTTTCAATTTCCTTGAGATTGGCCCTTATAAGTGAGAGTTAGGGGATCTTTAAAACTCTATAGCATACGGGATTTCGGATCTTGGTTTTCAGGATTTTATAAATGATAAATAATAAAACATATTTGAACAATGGATTGTCAATTTGTCATTTTCAAATACTTTTCAGATGATGCTAATAGAAAAAGTGGAGAATCTTCGCGCCGAAGCAGAAGACGTTATGGAGGACCTCAAATTGTAATCCAATTTTTGCAAAATCTAGAAACACGAAAATGACTCGATGTATCTAAGCCCCTGTACATTTAGTGTCGAACAGTTTTAAATCAATTGTTTGTTTTAAGTGCATTGTGTGTGTATGAACTTTCTGTTTTTTCTAAATTTTCTTCTAGGAAGTCTAATATTATTAATTTACCAGGGGGAGACTTTGTACAAAAGTCGATTGCTTGGGTAACTCTGTCCCATTCGTGTTTCAACCGTGAAGCAGTTGTGTTTGCATGGCCGTGTTTCGGTTTGAAGGGTGGGATATGGCGTGAATTTACTGGGTATAGAGGAATAACACCTGAGTCCTCAGGAATGGCAACGCATGGGGGTATCATGGGCGAAATAGTATACTCTGTTATGTCCATATATATATATAATAATAATAATATGTAAATAAGCGCCCTGTGGGTTAGGTTTAAAGTTAAATGTACCTTAGTATCTAATAGAAAAATGTGATACCTATTTATATTATATATGTATTATTTATGTATTTATTTATATATATATATGTGAAAATGGTATGGTAACCCCGCCTGCGCTAACGGGATACGCTGGCGGAGCACCAGTGAAGGGTGATCGATGAGAATGAAAACAGGCCAGTTAGCCCATCATGATGAATTCATCAGGAATTAACCATGATAGTTTCCAGGGGGAACCGCGAGGAGGTCGACCTGGTTGGGTATATTGCTAGCAATAGGATTCTCAGTCTCCATTACTAACAATCCCTTTCCCCCCAATTTAATTCAGTTAGTAAGCACAGATCTCTACCGAAACGATACCGTGACGATAAACAGGATGCGGTTTAAACTGTCTAAATAATGAAATGTTGTTAATAAAATAATTTTGATTCTGAAGTATTTATTCACCGTCTCTTATATAAACATGGTTTTAACGATATTGCGGGTAGTTTGGATTTCTTCACCGGCGGCTCTCTAATCTTGATGAATTCCATAAAGAAGAACACCTTGTGGCTGCTGTCCAATTTTTTCAGTTTAAAACCAAGTTTCTGTACTTCCGACGTGAAGTCGTCCACTTTATCGAACCGACTCTCTACCTCTGCTATCAGTAGGTGGCCACTGGAAAGAAAAATCTTTTATTAATAAAGATATATTGAGTAAATAAATATTTAAATAAAGTCACATGGTATAACGATAACCAGAGGGAGACTTTGTACGAAAGTCGATTGCTTGGGTACCTCTGTCCTATTCCTGTTTCAACCGTGAAGCAGTTGTGTTTGCACGACTGTGTTTCGGTTTGAAGGGTGGGATATGGAGTGAATTTACTGGGTACAGGGGAATAACACCCGAGTCCTCAGGAATGGCGACGCATGGGGGCGTATCATGGGCGAAACAGTATACTCTGTTATATCCGTGGTACTGCTTATGTCTATAGGCAACGGTTACCACTTTCCATCAGGTGGGCCGTCAGCTTGTTTGCCAATCTAAGTTGTATAAAAAAACGATTTTTTTTATATCAGTAAAAAATAGTTTACATGCAAATTGGTATACTTGGTCTTAGTCTTTGTACACCAACTTAAAATATGTAAAACTAATATTTTTTTGTCACATCCAAATTGTAATCTGTGTTGCCATTTTACAATATTTTATTGTAAAACGGTGTCGTTTTTACAATATTTCTATATTCTGCTGTAATTCTTCTGTAATTGTTTATTGTCCAAAATAAAAATAATAATCATTAGGAATCTATAAGATTAATTATAACAAAATGTACACTAAGCCAATGATGATTAGATTTTAACAATGTTTTTATGTATCCATACAAAAATATGACATGCTTGTATGAACATATTAATAAATGTAAAGAAACTGAACGGGGTCTTGGGCTTTTAAAACCATGTTGTAAACGAATTATAAATAGAATTTGTATAAAAATGCGGATGGTAATGTATTAAGTCTATTAATTTTATACTACATAACATACAGAGTACACACATACTTATATACACTTATATACTTATAAGTACATACTTATATATAGAGTGAAAGGCTTGTTAAAGTCGGGGCTTTGTTTTTTTTTTTTTAATGGATGACAAAGGAATGTTCTGCGCTAGCAGCTCACATAGCCCATCGTGATGAATACATCTAGAATTCAGTATGATGGTTTTCAGGTGGGGACTAAGTAGAGGTCAACCCGACAGGGCACATTGACAGCAATGGTACTTGTAGTCCATATGACTAACAATCCCTTCTCCCTTTCAATTTGGTGGATTATGCAAATCATCATCTTCCTACCCAATCATTTTGTGGTCGGCGTAATATGATTTTATCCATATTACAAAAAGATTTGGTTTTTAGTTTTACGACCGGCCTGACGTCAACCCTCTTTGGGAATGCATTTGTTGGTGGTCTCCGCCACCTACGGTATGGAGGAAAGGATTGAGGAAAAAAGGAAGGGAACGTTGGAAAAGCGTAAAGGAAATTGGTGAATGAGGGGAATAAGGGACTTATGTGGGAAAGGAAAGGGGGGGACACTGCAGTTGTGGAAAGGACTGGGATACTGCAGCGGCTCGGGAGGCCGGGGTCGCATACCCGTACGCCCTTATTCTAGAGTCAGACAGATTTATTATTTTCTTGACTTCCAATTGGTGTTTTTTTTTTTGCATTTACTTGCTGTGAGATGATAAATTCGTACTCACCCCATCTTCAAGACGCGGTTAGCCTCGACTAGGTACTGCGTGAGGTCGGTGCCCATGAGCGCGAGGCAGTAGACGGCGACGTCGGTGGAGCCGGCCAGCAGCGGCGTGTGCGCCATGTCGCACGCCTCCACTCCGTCCGCACTGGCCACCAGGTCGAACGACCGTACGCTCTGCGGGACTCGCTTAGACAATGCTGCTTCCCCGCACCCCATGTCTGCGATAGTGTAGGACTTCGGCCTGCAGATATTTGCAGTTGTTATAATAACAAACCAAATTAACAAAACCAGAGGGAGAATTTGTACAAAAACGTTTGTTTGGGTACCTCTCTCCGATTGGTGTTTCAACCGTGAAGCAGTTGTGTTTTAGTTTAGTGATTTAGTTGAGTAGGTGCCGGGAGCATATTTTTTTTAGGGAGACGTTGACACGCCGGACGTCCTCTGCACTGGGTACCTTAGTAAAATGTGGTGACCTCATTGTAAGGAAATGGGATCCCTCGTTATGTGGCTATTAGTAATATGTAGATCATTATCAGTTTGAATTACGCAAGTATATACATATGTGTATTATATTCTAAAATATATAGTGTAAGTAAATTAATACGGCAGGAAAATTGCTAAATATGAATAATGCAAATGCCTTACATTTTTAAAATTCTTGTGACAATAACATCGAGCGGATTCACAGGCCATTTCTTAACCTGAAGCTGATAACCTTGATGATAAGTCTGGAAGGCGTCGGGATCATTTTGGAAAAGCTGCTTGGCTTCAGAGCCTGATGATGTATACAGCTTCTCATTCAGATATCTAAATTGTGCCGCTGAAAACAGGGTTTTTATAATATTAAATTCAGAATCAATGTATTCAATAGTGTTTCAGTACACTTTCTTGATTTGTGCTCACAATCAATAACAATATTTTTTATTATTTTAACTCTGGTTTTTTTGTATATTTTATTAATCAACCATTTTTGAATAAATTTTAATATTTATTTTGTGGCACTGTTTTACCTTTCAATTTCTCCAGCATCCTTTGTCTCAGTTGACTGCCTTTGTTGGTGACATCAATTTCTTTTCTATTATTATTTAATGCAAGAATCTTCTTCAATTTTTCTTTTTTACTGTTTAATTTTATCCTATTAGTAACTTGACCATTAGTAAAAGAATTACTAACTGTATTTGAAGTATCATTCATTGATTTCAAGTTAATTTGACTTTCATCTTTAGGTTCAGAAAAATTGTCTGAATCAGATTTATTTCTTTTTTTCCGCTTTTTAGATCTTTTATGTTCAACATTAGTTACATTTTCATTAGAAACAGTTGTAGACTCTTTTTGTTGAATGTTCCCATTTACTGATTTGAATTTTGTTTTAGGTTCATTAAGTTTTGATTTACTTTTAGTACTTATACTTTCTTTAAAATTCGTTTCAAGTTTCTTTAATTTTGCAGCAACATTGGATGCATCAACAGCGTCATTATTATCATGTATAGTGTGCAGGTCATGTTTATTTTTCTTTTTTCTCCTCTTTTTCTTAGATACTGGAGGCTGTGCACTATCATCATTGCCAACTATTTCATTATGTTTCCTTTTATTAGAATTCGGTAATATTTCATCAGATCTGGGATTTTGAATGCTTGCATTTAAATTATTACCAGCTTGTGAATTATTTTTATTTAATATTGCATTTCCTTTATTTTTGTTATTACTACTTTTTTGCATCTCAATATTTGTAACAGAAAATACATTTCTCTGTTTATTTTTCTTTGAAATTATTTTATTACTATTTTGTTCCACTGGTTTGTCTGGACTGTTTTCAAGTTGTGGCTTATCAAAATCTTTGCCTTTTTTCTTCTGTAATAAAATTATAATAACTTATTTATGAAAAAAAAAAAATAATACACGCAAAACATTTTAACAATAAAATTACAAACTCAATAAAATTACAAATCCTAAAACATTTATATATAAATATATAGTTTGATAACACCCACTAGATGGAGTGACAACCTTAAATGCGATACAGGGAGTCAGTGGATGCAGGTGACTCAGGACCGTTCATTATGGCAGTCTATGGGGGTGGGCTATGTCCAGCAGTGAATGGATAATGGCTGAAATGATGATAATTTTGCCTACTTTTGTGGCATAGTGACAATATATACATTTCTAATTAACAGCTTTAGTTTCAAGGATAAGAATGTAATAAGACGCCACATTGTCCTTGTGTTCACTCAAGATGGTGTGGTCACAAGTTGTTCTATTATAAAAAAAAAGGTACAACTCTTTAGTCCTTAGTGATAGCAACACATTTAATCTTTAGATGTATAATATATTCTTATATATAGTTTATTATATAGTTTCAATAAGAGACAGTTACTAATTTGCTTCAAGCATATGAAATTATAATTCCCAAGTGTAAAATAAAGAGCGCTATGTGAATAAAAACATGCCTATTTGAAAATAGATACATGAAATAATTAATTATACGGATTAGCCAACTAAAATTTATTATGACGTCGAAATTTTGAGAAGATTTTCTGGAACTGATAGGTACAGGAACAGGTATAGAGTACGTGTATTATGTTAAATACCTGGAAATATTTGAAGGTTAGGGACTTTGTAAATAAAATGTTTAATTAGGACAAAGTATTTTCATAGTGGTACTTGGACAAAAGTTTAGTTATTTTATGGTAATAGATATATATTAAATTATATAAAAATGAATTTAATATCCATTTTAATAAATAAATTATGAAATAATGTGCCGGAGATTTTCTCTACCTTTACAACACTACCAAAGTTAATATTGGTCTTCGGGACGTCTTCTTCCCACTTCGGTATTTTAAACATTTTAATTTTACAATCACAAATTAATTGTATTTTAAGTTATAAATAACGAAATACAGATTTGTGTTGAACAAAAACAACGTGTTTTAAATTAGGTTTTAAAGTTGTCAGTGTCAAAGTGACATGTCATGTTATCATTTTTTTTTTTTTAGTACGTTTGTTCCGTTTGGAACAGGCTAAGGTCGGAGACCATGCTGCCTAGTCTTCAAAAAGATAATTTGTCTGGAATTTTATTTTTCTAATGTCGCTTCAATTATTGTCATAATCTTCAATATTTCATTTGTCAAATCCGGTAAGTACATTTTCATAAATATCTTTTCTTGAGTTTTCTTAAACCAGTGGATTTATCAAATTAAAAATAAATAATTATAAAAAATCATTGTCTTGCAATTCAATAAAAGTATTCTTATAGCTCCTTGAATGTTGTAGTAATATAAGTGAAAATAGCTTTGAAACAAGAAGGAAATCTTAAGAGAAGCGGGATTGAGTGCGGGATATTTTCGGGTTTTTTGAAGATAATCCTAAGTTCGTCAAACATAATGTGTCTTTGAATGACAAATTCAGAGCAATCAAAAAAAGGTGATGTAGAGATTGGGCTGTATTTGAGTTACACCATGTGCATGATGGGGAAGCGATCATGCCCATTCGGTGCAGGTGTTCGTTGAAATGTCCGTGGCCGATTCGTAATCTACAAATATTGGTGTAAAATTTTCTGTTTGTGTCCTTTCCTTTGCAGAACCACGGTTTTCCAATACGCCAATTAATTTTGCGGTACCATTTGCCTTTAGTCTGTAATATTTGAGTCCAATGCTCCTCCCATTTAGTTGTAACGATTTTATGTATTCCAATACTACAATCTGAGTAACAAAGGGGTAAATCTTGAACACGAGCAGCACTTGAATTAATAATTTTAGCCAAAGTGTCTACTTGTTCATTCCCAAACACTCCAATATGTGAAGGGGTCCAGATGAAGATAATATCTTTTCCATATATAGTACAGAGATGATAATATTTATTACGAATTTCTTGAATTAAGTAGTTTGATGATGAAATGAATGTGTTATTTTTTAATGCCATAAGAACACTCATACTATCTGTAATTATAATCCATTTCGAATATAGTACCTGTTTTTCTATGTATTCTAATGCTAAAAATATAGCTTTTGCTTCTGCTGTGTAAATACTAGCCAAAGTTGAAATTTTATAACCGTGACCAAATCTATTTGACAAATCGTAAAAAGCCACTGAAGTGCTAAGTGCATTTTTGGAACCATCTGTATATATCTGCCTGTAGTCAATAAATTCTGATAAAGTCTCATACATATCGTGCTTTTCTTTTATGTCTTTACGTATAACAATTTTGATCTTACAGAACTTACTCTCATAAAGGCCATTATAACAAGGAAGTATCTTACTACTATAGATGTTATATTCATCTCGTAAATTCAAATCATTGACAATAGTTTTATTCAAAAACATAGAAATGGGGCAATTTAATAATTTGAGTATGAGTGGGTTATTGGAAACTGAAAAAACTTTGAAGAGAAATTTGAGTTTTAGGTATTCGAAACGAAGAAGGATAGGAGGCAAATTACATTCTACTTGCATTGAGATAATTGGAGAAGTATACATAGCACCTAAAATAAGTCTTAAATTCATATTTTGAATTTTTTCGAGTTTTTCTACTAATTTATGTTCTGAGGCATAACAAAAGAAAGCGTAATCAAAATTACTTCTAACAAGAGATTTGTAAAGTAAAAGGATAATTTTAGGATCAGCTCCCCAGTTACGACCAATTACAGATCTTATTATATTAGTGGCTCTTAAAGCACGATCTACTAAGCAATCAACGTATAGATCCCATTTTAAATTTTGATGAAAAATTACCCCCAGAAATTTAACGCTACAGTCTGTTGGAAGAGTTTGATTATTATATATAATATTCATTAATGGAACATATTTATGAACTTGATGAAAAACAACTACTTTACTTTTGGTTAAACTAATATCGAGGGAAAGAAGAGAAAAATATTTCTCAAGTCTTTTTAATGACTCATTTAACACTAATTGCATATCAATAATATTCTTTCCTTTTATATAAATTAATAAATCATCGGCAAATTGCAAGTTGTTCACACTGTTTCCTAAAATTGAATTAAGTTTATAGATATATAAAATATATAGTAGCGGGCTTAGAATACCACCTTGACATACTCCTTTAGAGCTTAACCTAGGTCCTATTAATTTACTATTTACTTTAACATACACTTCTCTATTACTAAGAAAATTATAAATCCATTCGATAAGTTTCATTGGAAGAAATGAGGATAAAATCGAAGATAGAACTGTTAAATTTACATTGTTAAAAGCTCCTACGACATCTAAAAAAACAGATAGAACATATTCATCGTTATTCAAAGCAGTACTAAGGTCGACATAGAAGTTCGCTAAACTTTCGCGCGCTGAATATCCACGGCGAAAACCAAATTGATTCGATGGTAATATACTATTACTTTCAATAAAGAACTCTAAACGCTGTTTAATTAATTGTTCGAATAATTTGCCTGCACAGGACGTCAATGTTATAGGTCTATAGGAGTCGAAATTTGTAGGATCTTTACCGGGTTTAATTACTGGAATCAAACAATCCATTTTCCATTCTGGTGGGATAATACAGTCCTTCCATAAATCGTTAAAAATTTGTAAGAGTTTAGTAAGGTTTATTTTATTCAGCAATCGAAACATATTGTATGTTAAGCGATCAAGGCCACTAGCTGTATCTTTTCTAGATTTTACTGCACTGGATATTTCATCAATTGAGAATGGGTCAGTGAGAAATTTTGGGCATGAATTAACAGAATTAAACTGTTTGTCATCAAAAGGTGAGTGTACAAAATCAGGAGTATATTTGCGTAAAAAATCATTGACCCATGATATATCTTTAAAATGATTTTGACGATGTTTTGAATTTAGTTTTCTCATATTTTGCCAAACAGTGGAAATTGGTGTTAATCTATTAAATTTGGAACAAAATTCCTGCCACCCCTGTTGTCTTACTTGCTTAATTACTAACTTTTTAACAGCTTGAACTCTTTTAAAATTTATGTAATTATCGAGAGTTGGATTTTGTTTAAACCTAAGGTAAGCCGCTTTACTATCATTGACAGCTGTCGCACACCTGTTATTCCACCAAGGTACTGCAATATGTTTGTGCCTCTTTGAAGTATTTGCACCGCTATTTGATAAGTTCCTACGTGGAACGGAACGTTCCACAGCTGTCAAAATAATTTTACAGAATCTATTGTAATTGTTTAAGGGTTCTTTGACATCATACTCGAAATCCAAAAGTAATTGATTAACAGTTTCAGAATAAAGATCCCAATTAACGAGACGTAGGTTTATACGATTTAACAAAAGTTTATTAACTTCATCTATAGGAGCATGTTGTTCACCTGACGGAGTTGATGAAGAGTTCTTTGTGTTTATTTTAGTAAAAGTCGGCAGGTGATAACTTCCTAACGGATCATCATGAACCGACCACTCGCATTTTAATGATATGGATGGGGATACCATAGTTAAATCAAGGCCATTGGGTCTCCAAATATGAGAGCCAACAGTAGTAACTTGCTTATCATTTAATAGTACCAAATTACATTCATCTAAACAATCAAGAATGTCTTTACCTCTTGTATTAGTGGAGGTACAACCCCACATAGTATGATGTGCATTTAAATCTCCAGATATGATAGTGGGTTTAGGAAGAGACTCCAAAAAGAACTTAAATTTGGCTTTAGTAAAACTAGGTGTACTATTGGTAGGACAGTAAATACTGGCAACTGAATACCAAGAATTATTAACTTCAATACTAATAGCTATAGTTTGCAAAGAATTGTCGAAAAAAGAGTGAAGTTTTTTATATCTAATACTATTATGTATAATAATCGCTACTCCATTGTGGTTATTACCACAATCATTTCGTTCTATACAATAATCTTTAATTTTTAATTTGTAATGTGGTTTTAGCCAAGTTTCTGAGATGAGAGCAATGTGAATATGATGTTCATTTAAAAATTGTGTAAAAATATGTCGATTGCTCAGTAGGCTCTGAGCGTTCCACTGTATGATAGTTAATTGGTCTCGATTGAATTTTGTGAAATAGGTCTATTACCAAAAGTATCATATAACACATTCAAAACACTTTTAGTGTTAATAGATGTGTTCTTTGTGTTATGTAGTGAAATAAGTTTGATTATGCTTTCTATTAAAAGTGATAAACTCTTGTTATCAGAATTTAGAACTGAAATTAGGTCTACATTTTTTTTAGGTTTGTTACCCAGTTTAGGAAATATTTCAGTGCTAAGTATATCTCCAAAAGAAGCAGGTCTGAATTTAGATCTATTTTCAGCAATTTTCTTTTGTTTAACAGGGCATTGCGGTGATACACTTGTGTGATTTCCATTGCAGTGTACACAAATAGCGTTTTCCATTCCAGTTGTACAAGTTTTATAATTATGCTCACCTTTGCAGATGCTGCAACGCTCAGAATTCTTACAGAATTTAGCTAAATGTCCATACCTCAAGCACCGGTAGCATTGTTTAACTGGTGGTATATATGGAGTGACATTGTGGCGCCAACCTCCAATATCCAGATATTCAGGTAATACAGATGCAGCAAAAGTAATTGTCACGGTTAGAGTTGGCTGTAACACATATCCATGAGTCAAGGTATTTTTTCTTAAAATTCTTTTAATAGCAATAATTTTCTTAGAACTCGATATCATAGTATATATTTTTTTATTAGATATATTTGTAGGTACATTTCTAATAACGCCTGTAACTTCTGTTGAAGAAGCAGGAATACTGGCCTTAAAATGGTAGTCATTTAAAAAAGTTTTATTATTTAAAAAAGCATTGGCTAAGTCTGGCTTTTGAAAGTATACTCCGATTTTGAATTTATTTATAGATCTAAGATAAGTTACCCCTTTATTAAATCGTTTTAAACAGGAGGAGAGTGAGAGCAAGTCTCTGGATCCAATGGTTTTCTGACTATCTGAGGATTCTACAAAGACAACAAATTCTGTCCCAGGGGATTCCTCGGGATATCTTCTAATATAATCTGTGACGTAGTAAGGTATATACTTATCGGCCTTATCAATTTCAGATTCTGAGTCAGTAGAAGTATCTTCCGAATATATATCCTTGTCATTACAAGGTTCATGGTCTACATCACCTGAATCGTCATCTTTTTTTTTCCTTTTTATACAACTGCGCTTCCCCATGAATGCTAATTATATTACTGTCGCTGAATTTAGTGAAAATATAATATTTTATTCAATAATAAGAATTGATAGAGATAGTTTTAATAAATTAATAAAAAAAATTTAAAAAACCCGCTTGTTCTTATTCGAGTTTCCCGCCTTTTCTCATGTTATCATTTATCAGTTATGTCGTTCGCTGTCATTGTCAGGTAGCTGACATCCGAAATATATGCCTGATACTTATAACCTGCGTTTTTAATACATTTGTCACGTGAGACAGGCAAATGTCCCTCATTTTTACAATACTATACAACTGATTATTAAGATCTTAGCTAGTAGAATCTATGTTAGAACTTATGTTCTACACTAAATCTATGAGTAGATCTAGTTTGTTCCGTTATGGAACAGGTTAAGGTCGGAGACTATGCTGCCTAGTCTTCAGTATATTTTGTCTGGAATGTAGAATAGTGTTTTGTATTATATATATGTTTATTTTTAAAGAATAAAGATGGCAATTAAGTATGTGTTTGTTTGATATATTTTTTTTTATCATATCGTAGGCATCTAATCGTAAAACTTATTTGTTTCTGAAAATATAGCTGTTTAAGTTTCATTCCTTATAGTTGTGTCCGTTTTTATAATTAGCACGGACACGTGAACGAGCAAACATTGTTCTTTTTACACACACAATATTTTAGGTACATAATGAAGCCTATTTGTCATTTTGTTATATCTTTATTTGTCATTTTGTTATATGTTTTTTTTGTCTTTTATCCTTCCCATTTCCTATATGTTTTAACTACTTTAACAATCCAAAATTCCAATACGGGCTCTGTTCTTGAATTTTTGGTTTTTGGTTGTTCAATTGGTCTTTATTGGAAAAGAATATAGCCTAGTATAATTATGCAAATCGGGCGTCAATAAAATAAGCGGTTGAGGTAATCAGGGATTATTCAGGTAGTTTGGTATAATAAAGTTCAATAATACTACAAGAATTTGAATATACAGAACAAAATATTGAATCAGTTTTCTGCGGTTAAAATGTATCTTGAAGTATTTTTTAATAAATAAAATTTACGCATTAAAAAGATGCAGAATTTATAAGACAATAAATATAGAAGTTATAAAGGAATCACTCATAACTATTTATTACGCAAAATTGTACATAAAAGTTAACTCGTTTTTCTCGAAGCATGGATTTATTTTGATTCTATGGAGACACTAAAGAATGTATGTAGGTATTATTTACTAGGAATGGTTTTTTATTGTGTTAAATCCTTAAGTTATTCAAAATATGAGAATAATGCCTATAACACAATAAGAAAACAGTAGATTCAGTAATCACAAAATTAAAATAGGATCAACGTTTACGTGTTGATAATATATAGGTTGTAAAAAGAATTCTCATAATTGATTCAAAGTTCTCGACATAATTACGTACCTAATACAGCTACAAAATAAATTATTGATTGGAAAATCTTTCAAAAACAATTTAGAATGTAGAAATATATTCGTATTTCCAAATGGCACATGAAAGATTATATGTAAATATAGGTACCGTTCAATACAAGTCACGAGTAAAGACTAGTATTCAATATTTACCGTTACAGTGGGAGTATAATAATTTTATCACATTTCCAGTGCATGTCTAGCTTTAGTGATTGTAAACTCTGTGACCAAACTTTATTACATTTATTATCAGTCTATAAATTTATTTCATTGTGCAATATAAGTGGTGAAAATTCAATTATACGATGTTATTTGTATATTTTTTTAAATTTTAAGTTTGAAGTAATTAATTATATTTGCATTTTAATAATCTATTAAAGAATTATTGTGTGTGTTTTGGCCAGGTACCTAATCAATTTTCATAGCAGAGTTAGGTATGCATAATCCTTAATTAATGTTAAAAATGCCGTGTGGTCCCGGCATAGAATAGGCCACCCCTTCCTTTCCCGTGGGTGTCGTAAGAGGCGACTAAGGGAGGGCGAGGGATGGGCAGCAGCGTCTCTCGTAAAACATCTCTAAAAGCCTAACTGCGGTTGCCAACCTGCTTGCCAAGTGTGGCAACTACTAGCAAAACCTCCTTTATGGGGGAGGCTATGTTCAACAGTGAACAGATAATGGCTGATACACCAAATGATATGAAAACTTTACGAAGGGTTTCGAAATGTTCCATTGATGACGTTGTTGTTGCAAGCGTTCAATATGGTGTTTCTACTGTGAAGCAGTTGTGTTTGCATGGCTGTGTTTCGGTTTGAAGGGTGGGATATGGCGTGAATTTACTGGGTACAGAGGAATAACACCCGAGTCCTCAGGAATGGTAACGCATGGGGGGTATCGTGGGCGAAACAGTATACTCTGTTATGTCCACGGTACTATTCATGTCTATAGGCGACGGTTACCACTTTCCATCAAGTGGGCCGTCAGCTTGTTTGCCATTCTAAGTTGTATAAAAAAAATGGTGATCGTTTATTTATTTTTTTATTGTAAGGGAGGCAAAGGTGCAAATTATAATCAGCCATACCGTATGCTTTATTACTATTGTAGTTAAAAAAATAAATTTCATATAAGCGTTGCTCATTACGAATTGTTTGTTATATTTATTCACCTAACTTTACTAAGTTAGCTGAATAAATATAAGTGCTGTAAATAAAATATATAATAATTCCCTACTGGGAAGGGACTTTGCAGTCGTAGAGCGCATGTCGTGATTCGGCCATGCGCAGTGACGGTTTTGCCACCAGTCTTATGTTATTGTTACCTAAATTGCGATTAAATATACGCATAATGTTTTTATAACGCACATTACAGTCGAAATATTACATTTTTTAATTAATAAAACTAGATAGAGAAATAAAAGTGATATGTAAAGTTTTCAGTGAGGGATTTTTTTAGAAAATAACCTCAAGAATGAATATTTGATGTAGTTTTTTTTTAATTATTCAAGAATTGTACGGTTTTGGACATATGGAACCTCTTTAGAGCCGAATAAAGTGATTTGGATACTTGCAGTTATACGACGTACATATTTTGTCCACGCTGAGTAACTGTTACTTTGTAAGTACCTATATGTACCTCTATATTATTCTTTACTAGGTGTATTTTTATTCTATTGTTGAAAAAAAGGGTAATATTTTTTTAGGTATATCTAAGCATTATATATTTTTTTATACAACTTATAATGGCAAACAAGCTGACGGTCCCCCTGATGGAAAGTGGTAATCGTAGCCTATAGACATGAGCAGTACCATGCACATAACAGAGTATACTGTTTCGCCCATGATACCCCCGATGCGTTGCCATTCCTGAGGACTCAGGTGTTATTCCAGTAAATTTACGCCATATTCTACCCTTCAAACCGAAACATAGCCATGCAAACATAACTGCTTTACGCTTGAAACACGAATGGGGCAGAGGTACCCAAGCAATCGACTTTTGTACAAAGTCTCCCTCTGGTGAAAAGGGTGAACTGTATGTATGTAAATGTATGTATAGTTTTTAATGGATTATAACGGAATGGTAATCTAGTCTGCACTAACGGTACACGCTGGCGGGGCATCGGTGAAAGATAATAAGTGAGAATGAAAGGGCAAATCAGTCAGCCCATCGTAATGAATACACCTGGAATTCAACACGATGGTTTCCAGGGGGACCACGTGGAGGTCGACCTGATAGGGTATATTGCTAGCAATGAACTGGCAGTCCGTAATACTAATAATTCCTTCCCCTCATAAATGTATAGTTAGGTATATAAACCTATCATTAAGAAAGGGCTTCATTCCATCATCTGATTCGTATTAGTTGTGAAGACTAATTCGTTGGAATGGGGGGAGGAGGTTAAGCCATGTGGACTATATATATATATATTGCATTAATAGTTTGACTGCAGACGGCAGTAGATACTACTACATGTGCAGGGGGCGTAAACCAGAACATATTGTATACTAGCGGCCCGTCCCGGCGTCGCATGGGTGGACATTTTTACATTTTAAATTTTCTCCCGTTTTCCCAACATTTCCCTTCACTGCTCTGCTCCTATTGATCGTAGCGTGATGAAAAGTATACTATAACCTGTCCAGAAGTATGAAGAATAATTGTACCAAGTTTCGTTAAAATCCGTCGAGTAGTTTTTGTTTCTATAACGAACATACAGACAGATATACAGACAAAAATTTTACTGATTGCATTTTTGGCATCAGTACCGATCACTAATCACCGCCTGATAGTTATTTTGGAAATATATTTCATGTAGAGAATTGACCAGTACACAAATGACCGCAGACCAATGTACAGAATATTTTTTAAATAAAGCAATTTATTAGATTAATATACGCATGTTTTATAAATAAAAATATTAAATCTTTAGTAACTGTTAACAATGATCCAGATATGGAGGAATTAATTAATGAAACAAAACACTTGTTCATTAGTCACTATTATGAATATAATAATTAAAAATAATAATAATAATTAATAATTAATAATATTTAGTTGTTTCACGATAAGAATGCGCTGAATATGTGCAGGGCACACGTTCCTGCGTGTTTCCAGATTACGTGATATTATGTTATCATTATTTTATAGTAGGTATGGCGGGTGTTTATAATTACTAAACGATTTTTTTTAATGGATTATAATGGAATGGTATCTCCGCCTGCGCTAACGGTGTACGCTGGCGGGGCACCAGTGAGGGATGATAGGTGAGAATGAAAAGGCAGGTCAGTTAGCCCATCGTGGTGAATACAGCTGGAATTCAGCACGATAGTTTCTAGGAATGATCGCGTGGAGGTTGATTGGACTATATTACGGTGTATTTTTTTTTGATGGATGAAATTGGTACGGTAACCCCGCCTGCGCTAACGGGATAAGCTGACGGAGCACCAGTGACGGGTGATAGATGAGAATGAAAACAGGCCAGTTAGCCCATCATGATGAATTCATCAGGAATTAACCATGATAGTTTCCAGGGGGAACCGCGAGGAGGTCGACCTGGTTGGGTATATTGCTAGCAATGGGATTCTCAGTCTCCATTACTAACAATCCCTTTCCCCCTATTAGGGTGTATTGATAGCAATGGGCCTGTTAGAACCCATTACTAAACAATGCCTGTTCCCCCCCCCCCCCCCCCCGAGGCTTACAAAAATTTAAAAGTATCCTAAAAACAATTTAGGGACTGCAACTTGAAAACCTAACCATTTAATATCGGGGAGAAAGGGGTTGTTACTAACGGGATCTTACATCGCCATTGCTATCAATGTACCCTATCAGGTCGATCTCCACGCGGTTCTCCCTGGAAACGATCGTGATTAATTCTTGAATTTATCACGATGGGCTAACTTACCTGTCTTTTCATCGTCACCTCACCATTCTTCACTGGCGCACTTCCAGCGTATACCGATAGCGCGGGCGGGGTTACTATTCCGTCGTCATCCATTAAAAAAAAAAAAACATTCAATACCGTCACTCTATCCACAGAGTAGAAAAGTTCCAAATGTTACTGGACTATTCGTGTCGCTCTATTGTTAGCTACACACATAAACCAATTTTTACGTAATTATGTATTTGCCCTTATTCCTTTATTTAGACGTAGTGGGCGAAGTGAATTAGCTATAATAGTGTAATAAATAATTTATGTTTGTTCGTGTATGTATATTGTTTTGATCGATCGTAAACATTGTTAGTTTTAACAAGCTACGCCCGCAACTTTGTTTGGTAACTGGAGCGTATTTTTTTAATTTTATTTATTCATAAACAAAAATTTGTATTTGGATGTCATTGAATATTGGGAGGAAGGGATTGTTAGTAATGGGGAGTCCCCATAGCTATCAATATACACTATCAGGTCGACCTCCACGCGGTTCTCCCCTGGAAACTATCGTGACTAATTTATCGTTGAATTCGCCACGATGGGCTAACTGACATGCCTTGGGGGGAAAGGGATTGTTAGTAATGGAGACTTAGAATCCCATTGCTAGCAATATACCCAACCAGGTCGACCTCTTCGCTGTTCTCCCTGGAAACTATCATGGTTAATTCCTGATGTATTCATCATGATGGGCTAACTGGCCTGTTTTCATTCTCACCTATCACCCTTCACTGGTGCTCCGCCAGCGGATCCCGTTAGCGCAGGCGGTGCTACCATACCATTTTCACCAATCAAAAAAAAAAAAAATATCATGCACTTTATTTAATTACATAATGGACTCTATGTTGACCATTGCTTTTATTCTAATCTACTGATATCTCGAATTATGACGATTATGATTGACGATTATCGACCTTATATATAAATAGAAAATAGTTCATTTTAGAGTAAAACATCATTGAACACAATCTACCATATTTTTTAGTTATGATAAAGTTTTTGTATCGTAGTTAATGGAGAAAATATATTAGTTGATAGGTACACCATCACACCTAGTACACCTATGAATACATCAAAAGCAGTGGGGGAAAGGGATTGTTAGTAATGGGGTCAAATAGCCCTATTACTAGCAATATACCCTGTCAGGTCGACCTCCACGTGGTTCCCCCTGGAAACGATCGAGACTAATTCTAGTTTAATCCGTCAGGATGGGCTAACTGACCTACTTTCATCTTCATCTGTCATCCCTCACTGGTGCCCCGCCAGTGTATACCAATAGCGCAGACGGGGTTACCATACCATTATTACCCATTAAATAAAAACATCAAAAGCCGACATTGTAATGTAGGGGTGGGTATTATATAGCAATATCTGTATATTTCAGTTATAATATCTATTTACTGATCCAATAACGAATATATAAATAGTCTGTTATCAAAAAGAAATATTGGATAACAGACTTTCAAAATAATCAAAAATAGATACTCGACCGATGTGGACGATATCGAAATGGGTATTGACCTTTTTTCCGTTATTAATGCAAGGAGGATCTAAATATATAGATACCGGATAAATATTCATATTATCCATGCCTACAGTAATGCTGGTAGTTGCTTATGCAGCTCACAGGACTTTTGTTTTTATACAACTTAGAATGGCAAACAAGCTGACGGCCCACCTGATAAAATGGTAACCATCGCTAATGTTCTGTACTGGATTTAAAAAACAGAGTATAAATGTTTCGCTGTCCATGATATCCCCCACCTGAGGACTCAGATGTTATTCCTCTTGTAGGGTAAATTCACGTCATATTTCAAACCGTAACACAGCCATGCAAACACAACTGCTTCACGGTAGAAACACGAATGGCACAGCATGGTACCAAGCAAACGACTTTTCTGTTAAAGTCCCCTGGTACTGCTTTGTATTGGTGACGACCACTAAAATTAACTAACATTTTATAAAAAATAAGGAATCACCTAATAAAATACTATACAGTGCTAATGTTTGGCTTAATGGATTTTAAAAAAAAGAACAAATTCGAGGCCTGACTGACGCGTATTTTTTTAACGTATTCAATATATAATATTACTGATTATTATGTAATTGTTCGCAGGTTACAGTGATTTTATCTAATACAACAATGAACTTTATAAGTATTGAATATAGATGATGTTGGCCTAAAAACAATTCAATGGGTTATTTTGTGCCCATACGACCGATGGCGAAGCTGCGAAGGGATAAAATTGTAAGTGAATATTAACAGTAAGCGATGATTGTATGTATTAATTTACCATTAGAATCTATAATTAAATAGATTTACATGTACATAAATATATAATTTAATTTCATATAAAAAATAGCCGAGATCTTTTGATGAAAGTCTATCATGGAATTGTAAATAAAAATGGCTAAATTTTAACACTTAATTTAATACCACTTCTATTAAATAAATGTAGGTACCGCGTAAAAATATAAAATTTTATAATCAACCATGGTAATCTTGAACAGACTAGATAGGTACAGATAGGTAGTAGGGTAAATATGATAAAACAGTTAGTCATAATTGCGTTGAACCATATTTTAGGAAAGTTATATAGGCCTACCACTACAACAAACTTCACAAAGGTGTCTAAAATGGTTCCACATTTAGTATATAATCAAAATAATTTGTCAACAGTGGCGCTGGCGCTGCCAATGGAGTGTGGTCACCATCACGGCTGTAGCGCTAGTCATTTATAACGCGGCAGCCAACGTGTGGCTCCTGCGGCCTCAACCCTGTCCCGCCGTAAACACGCCCTCACCGCCGCCATCGTCAGAAACGTCATCCTGCGAGCCCTGTATCGACACTGCCCCTAATATTGTAATGGACGATGACCCCATATCGAGACTGGACCTTAGACTTGGAAGGTGGGACGGTTCTAGGTCCTTTCGAATGTTTGATTACGCTACGGTCGGAGATATGTATGCAGAAATATCAGGCAATCGGCGTGTCTGTTTAGCTACCCAAAGTTCAATTGAGAGGCTACACGAATTGTTACGGATAGCAGCTCATTGGTCCGGGCCAATATCTGTCGCTGTATTTGTCGCTGGAGATGAGCTAAGACTTTTGAGAGCATTCGCTACTTGGTTATTTCGTTGTCAACCAGAAATATACTCGCGGCTGGCACTTCATGCCGCTACGCCAGCAGAGAGACCAGGAACGCCAGGAAGTATGCCGAATTGGGCGAAAGATTGTGATGCGATGCCATTACCACCGGGAGAAAGACGGGCCGATACGGTCGCATGGAGAGCGAGACATCCGTACCCACAAAATCATCTGCGGAATCTCGCAAGAAGGAACTGTCAAACTCCTTACGTTTTCCTCGTAGATGTGGACATTGTGCCTTCGAAAGGTATGGCGGAATCATTAGACAAGTTCCTAACAACGGCTCCCAAATGCCCGTTGTGTGCTTATGTGGTGCCCACATACGAACTAGATAGAAGAGTAGCAAATTTTCCAGCGAACAAGTCGGAGTTATTAAGACTATCAAGAAATAAATTAGCTATACCTTTTCATAGGAAGGTGTTTATTTACAACCAGTACGCTTCGAATTTCTCTAAGTGAGTATGTCAGCCATCATTTTGCCTTGAATATATTACTATTTAGTAACGTGCATGTTATAATAGGATATATATGTCCGAGTATATACCGCGTGGTCCCGGCGTAGAATGGGCCGCCCCATCCTTTCCCGTGGCTGTCGTAAGAGGTGACTAATGGTCGAGAGTTGGGCAGTGACTCTCTTAAAACATCACCAAAGCCTAACTGCAGTTGCCAACCCGCCTGCCAAGTGTGGGAACTTTTGACAAAGTCCAGGATAGGGGAAGGCCTATACTCAGCAGTAGACAGTTAATGATTGATATGATGGTAATTATATAACTATTTTGTATCGTGCATGTTATAATTTATTTCTATAACAAATAACAATAGCTTCAATGCATTCCTTTGTGTGAGCAGTTAGGTTATTGTTTCATATTCTCTGAGGAATAATAATTATAATGATACGATATCACTTACGCCGAAAAATTCTTAGAATTATTTATTTGTATCCGAACGTATTATGTATAAACTCTCAAAAGACTATTATAACTGAAGTATCATTTGTCCCAATATTCGGCATTCAATAATTTTACTGGCACATTTCGGTCATTTGGACATATAAATACCCGAATATAAGTCCCGATATTCGGCATTCAATAACTTTACTGGCACATTTCGGTCATTTGCGCATATAAGTACCCGAATATAAGTCCCAATATTTGGCATTCAATAACTTTACTGGCATATTTCGGTCATTTGCGCATATAAGTACCCAAATATAAGTCCCAATATTCGGCATTCAATAACTTTACTGGCACATTTCGGTCATTTGCGCATATAAGCACCCGAATATAAGTCCCAATATTCGGCGTTTAATAATTTTACTGGTACATTTCGGGGGTTCACCACTGCAATTCTCCACGAACTCTTATAACAAGAGCTTGAGTCGCAGATTTATTATTGAAATGCATTGAATTTCCAGATGGGAGGCGAGTGGAGGGAACGAGAGCATCGACACGCACGTAAGTCACAACGTGACCAACTTTGAGTTATTGTATGAACCATTCTACGTGGCATCGGACACAGTGCCTGCTCATGACGAGCGCTTCTTGGGCTATGGTTTCACTAGGAATACTCAGGTTAGTGCATGATATTGTGGTAGATAAATCACTGGTTGTGAAGTTATGCAACCAGAGATAGACGTTCTAAATAATCAGCATGGAGAACTCTAATTGAGTGACCGTGAAAGAATACTGTGTTCCATCACATGATGTCGTAAAAGGGTACAAAGACAGCAAAGCACAGCGTGCCTGTGCAAAAGCTAGAAATTTCGAAACAAACCCTATATCAAACTGACTCCTCTCATGGAGAGAGTCCCACGCTCTGATTTTAACACTCTGTTGAGGAAAAAAGATAGTGTTACATGATTAGAATGAGATATTGTAAAAGTAGATATATTTAAGAATCAACAAACTATGCAGTGATTACTCGTATAAAAAACGATGTCTAGAGGTGCAATGATTTATTGCGACGTGGCTGGTTGCCAACGATCGTGGTGGCCGGTGACCTCATTCGGGATATGTGTTGTTTACTGATCGTTTACCGCTTTTGTGTCTTGGTCTCACTTCTTTATTTGGCACGATAACTACACGTTAACAGATACATTGATACGTACTCGAAATTCACCAGTTTTGATTAACTCTAAATAGAATGGTAACCTCCCTTGCGTTATCGGTTTATGCTGAAAGAGCACCAATAAGAGATGATAGATCTTATTCGCGACAAAATGACACGGGTCAGTTGGCTCATAATGATGAATTTGCCTGAAACTAATCATGATGGTTTTTAGAGGAATCTGCAATTGGACTCGTATTTCCCATTAGTATTATTCCTCTTCCTCCAAAAGTAGGGGAAGGAGATACATTTTCGTAAGTCGATTGGGTACATTTTCTTGTATTTCAACCGCTAAGCAGCTATACTTGCATGGGTGGAAAGGGATTGTTAGTAATGCGAATTTACCAGTTTCATTACTACTAATACACCCTATCAGGTCGACCTCCACGCGGTTCCCCCTGGAAACCATCGTGGTTAATTGTTATGGAATTTATCTAGATGGGCTAACTGACTTGCTTTCATTCTCATCTATTATCCCTCCTGGTGTCCTGCCAGCGTATAGCGTAAGCGGAGGTGGGGTAACCATTTCATTAGCATCCCATGAAAAGCCGTATGCTGGTCTAGTTGGAAGGTAAGTTATGGCAGTGAAATTGTAAGATACGTTGGTATACCATTTTAGTTTACAGAAATGGCATCGCATGGGAGTACCATTGACATCATAATGTATTTTATGATATCTAAAATGCTTTTCATGTCTGTAGACAATGATTGCTTATAGGATTGATTTTTTATAGGTAGATCGTTAGCTTATATATCGTTTTAGGTTACATAAAAAATAGTGTACTGCTTTGTAAGTTCCAGCTTTTCTTTAAATACGTTCCATCAGTAAAGTGTGATTCAGTAACTAATATACAAACATCTTTGAAATGAAATGAAATATTTATTTATTTTAAACAGACATTTGATGTTCTAAAGGCCATGTAACAGAATTTTTTGATATCTGTTTAATTGCCTTAAAATTGTAGGTATGCAAATCTAGTTTATTGTTCAAATAAGGATACTTTAATTTGTAAAGTGATTATTAAGATTATAGATTAAAAAAAACAAGTTCAAATCAAACCTATATAAAAAAAAAAAACTTTTAAAAATATAAATATTATTAAAAATAAAACAATAAAAAAAAAAAACAAGTGCAATTAATGAATGTGCTGTCACCGGGAAAAGTGGAGTGTGAAGATTAGAATCCGGTCGAGGCCGGACGAGCTCGGATTTGTGAAACGCGAGTAAAAATATATCTGCGCCGTTTTCGCTCACAGCTGTTAGGAAACTTTTTAACAACAACATGGGTTAGTGTATTCTTGACGATCCACGGCGACTGGAGTTTACGTGACCGAGAATAAAAGAATTATTTGGTTTCTAGTCTATTCCATAATGAAAGACAATGAACTTACGAGATGATGAAACGAAAATAATTAATCATCTAGGTCAAAAAAATGTTTTTTTTTTTTATACAATTTAGAATACTAAACAAGCTGACGGCCCACCTGATGGAAAGTGGTAACCGTCGCCTATAGACATGTGCAGTACCATAGACATAACGGAGTATACTGTTTTGCCCATGATACCCCCCATGCGTTGCCATTCCTAAGGACTCAGGTGTTATTCCTCTGTACCCAGTAAATTCACGCCATATCCCATTCTTCAAACCGAAACACAGCCATGCAAACACAGCTGGTTCACGGTTAAAACACGAATAGGACAGAGGTACCCAAGCAATCGACTTTTGTACAAAGTCTCCCTCTGGTAAATCTTATTTATTAATTTATTCGCGACTTCGCCCGCACGATCTGGATAAAAAATAGCCATACTTTTTCATTCTAATTTCTGCGTGTACGCCAAATGTGTTAAAGATAAGTGTCAACTGGTAATGAACAAACTAAATCACGATATTATATAAATAAGTACTGGCAGTAAGCATGAAATTTTAAAACATTTGTTTTAATAAAAAATATAATCATAGATTAAGAATAATATTTACTTGTTAGCGATCTTTCTAGGGGCACAATATATAGTTAGAGGCATAGATTAACAATAGCTTTGCAGTTGTTTTTCGAAGAAAAGTACGTATAAATCCATGTAACATAAATATAGCTGTTAAGCACTAATCAATACTATTTACAAGTAACATTTTTTTATTACAATATGCAATCGTTTGCATATAATTCGTACAATATTTGTTATCATAAGAAATCTCCCAATGTAGACTGCGCATTCTTTGTCCGTGAGTAACATCTAACTTTGTATATCTGAATACTGTGTAAGTTAACCAGACACGATATATTTTATGTCTTTGTAGGAGTAATTAAATTGTTTTCCACAAAAAATCGACTTCATCTATGGCAAAATCAGTTAATTTGATCTAAAATCTAATCTACTGAATCGATTTTAATAAAATTTCTATGGTACTTATTAGTAAATTTATACTTTCAAATAAAAAGTAAAATTTTCCAAATTGGTTTATATCTGACGGAGTTATGAGAGTAACAAGCGTTAAAAAAACATACATACAATATGTTCTTGTTGATAAAGTTACTAGATGCAGCTCTCTTTTTTTTTTTCATTTAAGAGTTTCCTCTTGTCTGTGCAACTAATTCATGCATCTTCTTCCAGCCAGCTCTATCCCAGGCCATATCCTTGATCTCCCTATACGACATGACACCCAGTGTTTTCTTTATCTGTCCCATATAATTATTCTGAGTTATTCTTAGGTCTTTTCTTTTCTATTTTACCCTCTATTTTTCCTTCTACTATGCTCTTTAAAAATGTAGCTAGGTTTTTTTAATGGGTGATAATGGAATGGTAATCCCAGCCGTGCTATCGGTATACACCACCGGGGCACCAGTGAAGGATGATACGTGAGGATGAAGCAGGTCAGTTAGCCCATCGTGACAAACTCAACAATAATTGTTCACGATGGTTTCCAGGGGGAACCACGTGGACGTCGACCTAATATGCTTATATAGGCACTTTAAATCAGTTTGCCATTCTAAGTTGTATAAAAAAAAAGTTACAAGCGCATATTGCTAGCAATGGGGCTGTCAAACTCCATTGCTAACAATTTTTAATTTTGGGGGGAAAGGCCCCCCAAAATTAAAAATGTAGTTAGTTACAACATATTTTACATTATTATTATTGTATTAATGTAAATCTAGGACTATTAAAGCTATTAATAACCGGTTCAATTGTATGATAGAACAATTGGATGGTTTGCTATTATTTACATCTGCGGATATGACGTCAATGGAATGCTTTACGTCGCGTTATACACAGTTTATTATTTCACCGGCCGCCGCGTGAAACATTCATTACGGTTTACGTAAGTTCTTGTTACGTTCAGACATAAATACCGATGTTTTGTAGACTTGATGGTACCTATTCGTTTTATGGGATTCACTGTTCTGTATTTAATTTATCGTTAGATTTGTTGTTTTTTTTTTAAACATTGCGTTCTGAGGGATACACAGAGACTTTTATTATCGCACCGCTCGTCATAGAGAGGGAATTTATCTTGACACATTCTAAAACCTAAATGATCGTGTACGGTATGGTTTCAGAGATTTCTTCCGCGAATGTTCAGGCTGTGGGATGAGCTCTTTGCCGAGATTTTCCCTAGATACTATAGTGGACAATGTGTACGTGACACTTCTAGTTCTAGTGTTGCAGGCTGTATTTAAAGGTGATAACTATCACTGTCAAAGGTAGTTGTGATGTATTTGCACTACTTATTGTTTATAGGCTACAGTGACCGTTTACCATCAAACGAGCTGTGTGCTTGTTTGCCACTTTTGTGGTATAAAAACAAAAAGCATTTTGAAGTGACTAGGTGAAGGTTAAATTAATACCTGTTTAATTAAAATATATAAATTTCATTGTATTTTGTGATATACTTATACTCTGTTATGTCCATGGTACTGCTCATGTATATAGGCGACGGTTACCACTTTAAATCAGGTGGGCTGTCAGCTTGTTTGCCATTCTAAGTTGTATAAAAAAAAGTTACAAGTAAAAAATTACTAATTAAGTAAATCATCTCCCTCGTAGTACAGTATATTTGTATATTATTTAATGTCAAGTAACGTATTGTAATTATCTAACTAGTCTGGCCATAAATACCTACTGTTACATAAAATCTTTTCTTTTTTTTCAACTTTTTAATTATTTTGAATTTGGAACACATTTATTTATTATTTTAAAAAGTTCTTTCAATTTCGCGCCATTTCACATATTTTCTCGTGTTCATTATCAAATTACAATATGGAATGGGGTGTTAAGGAAAATAGGATTGCAGTGATCGCCTTGCACAAAGTGGGTATGGACCCTTTAAAGGGATTTAATGCTTGAGGGATAGGCAGGAGGGTCCTTTTTAAAACATCACCAAAACCTAACTGCGGATGACAACCCACCTGCCAGGCGTAGAAACTAGTGGCAAAACTCCTCTTATAGGGAAGGTTTATGTTCATCAGTG